TCGCGATGAAATTCTGTTCCCACCGCAATCTTGCGTTTCGAAAGAAAAAAGAGAGACCGAATGAGAATAACTATACGCAATACGCAAACATTCCCCGACATCCCGACATATTTTGAACGAAGCCTATCATTGCCATCAGCTAGAGGTCTCGTTCGGATGTACTGTACTCGTAATTTAATTCAGTCGCTCAGTCTGGGGTTAGTGATGACTATGATGAGGTCCGTGAAATAATTCTTAAAATTACACCGCGTAACATTTCTATTCTATTGCAAGTCAAGTCTGATTACACAACCGTTTTTTATAGTCAAGTACAGTATTAATTTACGCTCTAGGGGACAAAACTCCAAAGCGTGCGTCCGTATCGAAGAAATTATCGAACTTTCAATGACTTCAATTTTTCTGTGCTACTTGAGGGATAAATTGAGAAACTCAAATACTGTCAATTTGAGAAACTCAAATGCTCGTGCTTCCGGACGCGTATGAGCAGCAGTTTCATGGGAAATGTATGTAGAAGGCACACAGTTCGGAAAAATTGGTGTGAAATGCCTTGTATACACAAATACAATTTTCAAATATTCCTGATCACAATAATAATTCAAAGAGACGGGAGTAACATACAAAGTCCCAAGCAATAATTGTTGAAACTAAACGGAAAATCTACGCAGCATGTTCTGGGTGGGAAGTGAGGTACTGTACAGTTATTTACAGCGTGTTTTTCGTTTTGTTTCAACAATTATTACTTCAATTTAAGTCCGCATAGATGACACCGCGCTGTGACCTTTACTTGAATATCCTGAGTATAGGCCTCAAACGTGTTTTTCAACTTTTTTTTTAGTTTAAAAGAAAGGTTCTCCTTCATGCTGTAAAATGTGGTAATCGCATAGATTGCCGTCAACCGTCAATTTGTCGCCACCCATACTTGACAAATTTCACTTGAACATATCTTATTCGTCTATTTTATTTGCATGTCCTGAATTTATTGTGACCCTCATTAAGTATTAAGAAATAGCCATCAACAGTTGAGGGGACGAAATCTAATCGATTTGTTGAAATTATCTCGACAAATAAGTTGAGCTGGGATGGACGACAGAGGATCCGAAACTTTAGAGCAGGTCCTCGTGCGTGTCGAGGATGGGTTGACTCCGGCGCGGGGATCCTCACGAAGATTCCTTCGAGTTCACTCGTGCATTATTGACGGTCTTCTCGGAACGGCCGCCGCCGGCTCGGGGCGGCTGACGTCTTTTCATGCCAAAAGCACGCACCCGCACGGTGAAATGACCTTTCCCTGCCGACTCTGACGGGATCCACTCAGCAAATGCGGTCGACCCCGCTTTGACGCCCGGAATAAGGACTCAGCTGCTCATCACACGGAATTCCTCCCACGCCGCGGCCCGCTCATTTTCCCGGCTGCTCTCCTCTCGAAAATCCCGGGTTGTCATCGCTGCTTTTCGTTTTGCAGAAATCCGGCTGCCGTGTAAAAGCCCTCGCTGGCTTTTTCCTGCCTGTTTTCTTATCAAAGGGTTCTAGGTAGACCCATAGCGGGAGCGCGGAGGACAACTGAGCGTCGGAATCCTGATTCTCAGACAACTGAGCGCGAAACACCTGCCAATCGAATATTTTTCTCAGTAAGTGTCTGGCTACATTTCAACAAAGCCTTTCTTCCTATACAAGATCCATGTTAATATTTCAGGAAATTAATTATTGCTAAAACAAGAATATAAAGTCAACAAATGGCGACGGAACTTCGAAATTGTGGCCAGCAATACTTTAAAATCAAAATTGACAAATAGACGGTTGACGGCAATCTATGCGATTACCACATTTTACAGCATGAAGGAGAACCTTTCTTTTAAACTAAAAAAGAAAGTTGAAAAAACACGTTTGAGGCCTATACTCAGGATATTCAAGTAAAGGTCACAGCGTGGTGTCATCTATGCGGACTTAAATTGAAGTAATAATTGTTGAAACAAAACGAAAAACATGCTGTAAATAACTGTACAGTACCTCACTTCCCACCCAGAACATGCTGCGTAGATTTTCCGTTTACAGTTTCAACAATTATTGCTTGGGACTTTAAATAATCACAGCTTAAATAGGAAGATAATTAATCATGATTTAATTCATTCTAACAGGAATAGGGAGAATGACTAATATCCAACTTAGACTTTGAGTAATATTTATTATAATTTATAAGAGCAATTCAGAAATAATGTAGCATAGAAAAAACACATAAGTCAGGTTCTTCACGCCCAGTTTTCCTCGACGCTCAAATGTCCCTGTCATCAAAGGGAGCTGGGTCGAGTGAGAACTGCTGAACACAACTGACACCGACTTGTTGAATTTTTTTTTCTCAATATGCTGATCATTACATTTGATCCAGCGTTACACCGTTTTTTTCCAACTTCATCAACACTCACTTTGATGAACAATAGCATGAATGCCTAAAAATAATGGAGCACTAGGAAGTATCGATCAGACAAAAGCAAAATGCGAAAATGTTCCATATGACACTCAGTTCTCCGATCAAACCGAGCTGGGTCGAGTGATAGTGGTCGCCGAAGGCAACTGAGGGTTCAACGTCTGACAGTCGAGTTTTTTCTCCTTAAAGAGTAGGTCATTAAAATTATAGCATTACGTTGGACATTTGCGGAACCTTTTCCATTTTTACGCTAATATTTATTTTTATGAGCAATTTCGTAAAAAATTAGAGCAATAAAATGGAACTTTGTAGCGCTCGCATAAAAAGGGAAGGAACGAGAGTCGGGTGTCTGTCGCCGAGTTTTCCGGTTGGATGGCCTTCGGGGCCGGATCGACGTCTTTTTCCCTACTGTCGAACGGATGTTCGAAATCTCCGGTGCGTCGACGGATTACCCCTACTCTCTTCAAACTTGATGAGCCATTTGCTGAGCTTGGGGAGGAGGAGTGTGGGGATCGTATGTGTGAGTGCTCGCGAAATATTTCATCATCCCACGCTGCCCTTTTTTTTTTTTTTTGACATCAGTGCGGCCTACGCCTCTGCGGATGCGAGCCGAAGACGGTTCCTGGCAGATTGTTTTTGCGGGATATTGTGTCTCCCCGTGGCCCAACGCTTCCGCAGTCGGTCCTGGAGACTCCATCACGCGAGATGGTCTCGTCAGCGACAGAAGAAGTCGGCAATAATAAACTCTGCAGGTCCCCGTTCATCCGGGGAACGAACACCGCCGCGGGAAGCGTTTGTTGAGATTACATTGGGGGGGGGGGGGGGGGGGGAAAATCCGGCGGGGGGAGCGGTTGTTGAGATTTCATTGGGGGGGGGGGGGAGAAAGACGCAGGAATTTCTGCCGACGACTCCGGGCGTGGGTGCCTCTGTTAATTTTGACATGAGAGCGACGCTTGTGCAACCTCACGAGCTCGCGCTCTTCGCCTGACTGGCTTTAGAGGAGCCGACGGGAAATTCCGCGGTCCACAGCACCGCCTCGCTGACACCGACTCGATTAATCAGGCATTTATTAGGCACTACGCTGCGCATCGCGTTCAACGATTAGCACACGCCTGGCAAACTTCATCACATTGTTCAGCCTTTTTTTTTTAATTTCTTCGACACATCAGAAATCAGCGCATAAGCTTTGTCCGTCTAATGGTTTCCTGGTTGGAGTCCCGGATGGATGGAGATGCCCCAGATTTTTAAACAGGCTATTTAATGAAAATACCGCTGTTACACTTGCCCAAATTGACATGGAGAGAAGACAGGGAGCCGAAAACAAGCCCCATTACACTCAGGTTCAAGTGCCACACTTAGCATGTTTTACGAATTCTAAAACATACGAAGTCCTGCCAAAGATTTTGAACAAGCAAAAAATTTTCTTAGCGATGAAGTTCGAGGTGTGAAAATCATCATCCGATACACACACAAAAAAAGCTCCGATATGCTGAATGTGAAAGGTTGCGTAATAATTGAACATTTTGAGCAAGACGTTGCCGAAGCAATGCTTACAATCCAAGACAATAATTGTCAGCGGATTTGCGAAGGCTTTGTTCAAGACATTTTATTGATCCCTCGATTCCCTGCCCCGTGTCTCAGAAACATGAAAGTCCAAAGACTTTCATGTTTGAAGAGTTGATACAACGTTTTAGTCGAGCAAAACATCCCTCGCAATTTATTCATGCAGAATCAATTCATACTGATGCTGAAAAAGCAAAGCAATGGAAAATCTTGGCATTGCGGTCTGTTTTAGTCAAGTGAAATTTTAGTATTCTTCTGTCAGGTCCAGCTTTTTTTTTTTACAGCGGAATGCCTTTCCTTATTGAAATATGATTAGAATTTGCGATAGAAAATTGATCGGAAGAATGAAAACATAATGAATCTATCAGACTTTCTGACCTCCAGTATATTTTGCTTTCACCGAGGGACATGACTCTTGGATAAGAAATGATTCGACCTAAGTATTGCGTACAAAATTATACGACTACGTAAATTACCTTACACAACGATTATTATAGATTTAGCCAGGAGAGGCGCGAAAAAGGTCGCGTTCTCCGAAAATACTCGAATTCAAGTGAGGATTCCATCATTGTTTTTTTTTCGCGAAATGGTATTCCGGAGTTTGCAAACCTCTTTGACTCACCGGCCCTTTTTGGAAATTGTTTCTGCCGCGGAGCCCCACGGGAAACATTTTCTTGGGTCTTGAGTCGAGGAAGCAGTGACGTTTTTATTGTTGTTGCATAATTCCATGTGAAAATGTCCAGTCAAATGATTCTGCAATTGTTTCTTTCTTTGATTCCGTGGTATTTTATTTTATTTTTGGAGCAACCTTGAAGCCCCTGGGAACTCCAGGCGAAGCCTCAGCAGCTACGCGGAGCACTGGTTGGGAACTCGTAATTTAATCCGATCCGACGCGAGAATTGTGCGGCCACGAAGGGCATATCATCGTCCCATGAGATTTTAAAAACATCGCCGAAAGAAGTCCCGTAAATTCTTCTAGGAGAGAAGTTTGCACAGAAATAATATTTTAATGCTCCAGATGGAGGCTGCTTCAAGTGAGAAGAAGCAGCCGTGCGCGGATGTAGCGAGCGAGGAATTGCAGGCGAATAATTCAGCGAAAGGAAGTGATCCGGGTTCTTCAACACCCATCGCCGGGGATTCTCGGAAACCCGCGAAAACTCCGGCGACGGATCCGGGGGTTCAGATTCAGGCGCCGGTCGACACGCGGGCATCGAATTCCACTGCCGTCCCGGACGGGACACCGCCGGAATTGACCAGGAGGAGTTCGGGTTCTTCGATAAAGATGGTTTCCGCGAGGGCGGCGGATGTTGAGCTACCGGATCCGGACGCCATTACTGTCGACGGAGAAGAAGAAGGCGCGAAAGCCGCCGCTTCGGTCCATCGAATGGACAGCGTGAACTCGATGGACGCATTCCATTTCCCAGAGCCGCCGGAAGATAACCGCCGCAAAGGTGCACAGCCAGTGGAGGAGCCCGAAATACAACATTCGCCTTTCCTGGTCTTTTGCTGCAGTCGCTGCTTGTAAGAGTTTCTACATTTTATCTTGTATTTTCACTCTTGTATTTTCTGTCGTGACTGCTTTAAATAAACTCGAAACACGCTCAATGGGACTTTCACAGAGAATCGGTGCAAATTATGAAAACATGAAAAAGGAAAGTTCGGTGGCCATTTTATCGAATGTTGGATAAATAAATTTTTTTATCCTTTGAGACTCCAACAAATATGTACACAAAGGTTGGATCAAAATTTTTCCCAGCATCATTAATAACAAGATACGTAGAATTCCGATTATCTACAAGATCACACTAATCACGGGGTTCCTTAATTAACTTTTTTTAATCATGTACTGACATCCCGCAACTCTCGACGTTCAATATTGTGGAAATTACAATCAGATGGAATAACGCGGTTCACTGTACAAATGCCATACTTTGCTGATCATCAATTAACAATAATTAAAAAATAAAATTAATTTATTTTTTAATTAAAAAATAATTTTTATAATTTGATTTAATAAACTCTCTATTTTGAAGACCTGAAAATCAAGAGTTCCGCTTTGATTTCAATTATTCAATTCTGAACCCGACTTTGGCTTTTTTCGACTTCGGCACTGGTGCGAATATAGTATATTTTATTTTAAAATATTTTACTCTCAAAAATAATGGGTGGCAATCTTTCATTTACAGCACAGTACATTATAACAACATACTTTTCATGAATTCGAGTTTTGAGAGGGAGGAATTCATTTTATAGAACATCATTTTCAAAATTGTATCCTATAGTATAGTGCGTCGAAAGACAGCATACAATTCACTGTATATCATTACTACGGGCCACTCGTCCAACAATCGAACAATCTTTCCACTCCCAGAACAGAGATAAGTTTCAAAACGCAAAATCCAGAAAATATTGAGGGCTGTTCATAAATTTTCTTCACTTTTCGTGTTTGAGGAAAGCATGTTTGACTTTTTCCAAAAGCCAATAGATGAACAGAATGTGCTTCGAAACATCTGAAAATACGCAGTTTTTTGTTCAGAGATAAAATTTGATGAAGTATAACTTCGGTAGATAAAAATTTGAGCGTTAAATTAAGGTTCTTGAACACATTTTTGCTGTCAACATTGTGTAGACTTTTGCTACTTTTCCAGATTTATTTTAGAACTGAAGTTCAAATAGACGAGATGAAAGAAATTTGTTTGCTGCTCGAATAATTTTCTTATAAATGGAATCCTTCATTAAAAATTTTTCAAAACAGTTTCATTTCAGAAAATAAAGAAGTGGCTCTGCAACGGATATTCAATTGCTGTACCCATTATATATGACACGACGGTTTCTTCGAACCATTAATTATATATTTTAGAACTGAAGTTCAGGTCTGTATTTTAAGCAGCTTCTCATTAAAAAACACTATAGAACGCTTCTTTTATTTTCCTTCGAATTTCCGTTAATTAATTTCATATAGTGGCTTGCGTTCACCAAGCATAGTACTGTACAGGAACTCAAATTTTCAGCATTCTTCGGTACAAGATTTCTTGTATAAATGTTTGTGTCATTGGAATGCATTGAAAGAAATCGATAGATTTCACCGCAGTGGGAGTGGAAATTTTGTTTCTCAAATCCATTCATATAGCACTTCTGAGTTCTGATCTTCTGAAATATTCTTACGAAGCGGAACCACTTTTGAAGAAAATCTTACTCTTGCAGTCTTGAGTCTCATTAGATCAAAGCAAATGCAATATGCCGTGGGCGATTCTTCCATGTTCTAACCGACTTATTTTATTTTAACAGTCTTTCGATGCTTGAAAAACGCAGAAAGAGGCCTAAAAAATTCAACCCGAAGAAGCTCGTGCGTGGGTAAGTGTCACGAATGAGATTTTCTTTCATTAGCAAATATCTCTCACTGTGGAGAGGCGTTAAAATCGTAATTATTTTTCAAGGGTGCCGCTTGACGAAATCCGGAATTGGGGAAACTCTTTCGACGCACTCATGAAGCACGAGAGTGAGTATAGATAAAGAAGTTCCGCCCAATCCCCTCTGTGGAAACCCATTCTCATGTTCTATAGGTACAGCTTTATGAGCATCTGCGAGCTTGAAAAGTATCCATCCTTTCGTCTTGAATAGCGAATTACTAAAAAAAAGTTTATTCGCGCTGTACCAGACCCGCAAAAATTTTAGAAATTCGGGGAGTCACGAGCATACCATGTGATCATAAAGTTCCTGTACGAGGAAGGTAAGACAGTATTTGAGAAGAGGAAAATTCTGGCAACATGCCAACAAATGTTTGGCACCTGAGAGGGAAAAAGGGAAATATTTGGCCTTTTCAGGGCAAATCCCAGTGTGATTCATTCACCCATCTTACGGACAATGGAGAGTCAAGGATCCTTTTTCATGATGACACGACTTGTTCCTCTCATCTTTCTCTCTTTTGGCAGATATAAATTGCTGCTCGGAAAATAATTTTATTCCTGGCGCCAAACACTTTTGGTTGTTCGGAAGATGATAGGATTTCCCCGCAATTTTCAGATTGCCCACCTTCGTTGAATGCGAAGTTCATCTGTTTCGTTTACTGAAATGTCAATGGTTTTGCGGGGCCAGAATTATCGAGTGAACGCTGTGAATACTCATGAGGAATTCGGATAATCTTGTATTCATGAAATAATTTCCTGTCGCATTCCGATAAGCTTGCCGCGTAAAATACTGTATTATTGACGAGGTCCGTGTGCCCGTTTGCAGAAGGTAGAAAGCTGTTCTCGGCGTTTCTTCGTCATGAGTTCAGCGAAGAAAACATGCTGTTCTGGACTGCCTGCGAAGATTTGAAGAAAGAAACCTGCCAAGAAAAGATGGCTGAACAGGCCAGAATCATCTACAACGATTACGTCTCAATACTTTCTCCGAAAGAGGCAAGTGGATTTCAGAACAAAGGAAAGCCGCATTTACGTCATTAATCACACGGTAAATATTCCAACAGGTTAGCCTGGATGCGAGGGAAAGAGAGAGGATCAATAAGAGAATCACCAAGCCAGCGCCGGAGATTTTCGTGCAAGCCCAATCACAAATCTTTGTGCTGATGCAACGAGACTCATACCAACGCTTCATCATGTCTTGGATGTATTTGAAGGTGGCTCACTACAAGAAAGATAGATACAAGCAGAACAACAAGCCTCACACTACGAATTCCCCATGAGGACACGCCGCTGATGGACTCGAGAATCTCATGCCAATCGTTGTGCCCACAACCAAATTGATTCTTACTCTTCTAGGTTTTGGAGACGTTCTTAACGCATCGAACGATACGCTTAAGCCTCGGGAACAAAGCTAATCGCTTCGAAATCCCTTCTCGATGGATTTTTCGTTTCCCCGGCAACTTTTTAAAATTTTATTTCCACAATATTTGCATCGCAACGATTGAGAGATTCCAGTTTCAAGAGGCGTTCGTTCGTCCCACGGAAACTTTCGTGTCCTCAGCGGAAAGCTTGACTTTCATAGTCTTGGACGAAGGAGGGGGTGAGAAGGGGTAAGGTGGCGGCGGGGAACAACATCAAGTGGCACTTACTTATTCCAAGTCGTTCGGAAGGTATCTTACAAATAATGACGAAAAAAAAGAACGAGTCACTGTTAATATGGTGACTCGGTCTTATTTTCGAGAAACGATATATAATGAGATATTATTCAAATGCAAGGTATGAAGAACTGGAAATAAGCCACTTCGCGTGAAGTGCAAATAATAATGGTCTGAAGACATGAGCTGAAACTGAATGTTTTTTATGTGTTGGAAATTGAAAAAAGTTGACGCGATGCATCAGTCTTTATAGAAGTATTAGACCCGACTCATGAATAGGCTTAAACCCCGAAGGAAATGGCCGCCCCTCAATTCGTTATTATTGTTGTTATTATATAGACTCGTTACGTAACGCTCTTTTGAGTTCTTGATCAGATCATTAAACTTAAAGGTCGGACGCGGTATTGAACAAATCGCCATTGAAATTTTATAATTTTTTCAAGTGCAGTGAAATAACTAGAAAGAGGAACTTCATCGATGATAATACCTTTACATTATTGTATTTACGCCATCACGGGCCGCCCCTTTTAATCGCAATGCGTCAAAAAGACTTGGGTATATTATTCTCTCGAGATATTATATGGAAGGCCGCTCTGAAAAGATTGGAGGACATTATATTCGCGAGTCAAAATCATGCTGCGGAGGCAAATAAATTGGTAGGGGATAATACGGCAGACAAAATCCTGCCTTATAGAAAAATAACCAGGAGATTTTTTCCACTAATGATGTTTTTTGGTGTTTTGTTGTTATATCAGTGTAGGAAGAATTGCATAATTTTTTTAAACAAATTCATACAATGTATGTACCAGTTTTATTAATAGCTGTGACATTCCAAAGACCATATTTGTTGCTATTTCTTGCACGTATTAGCTGCAGCTTCCCCGCATTTTTAAAATTTATCTGTGGTTAAAAGATAATCCTCGTCCAATGATTCTGCGGCCCATGCAAATTTTCTACCCAAATTGGCTGCATGAAATCAGGATGTGGCGTATAATCGCGTAAAGACGTTAGTTTCAAGTAGTGAAAATTAAATTACTTCATCGAGAATACTGGGAGCTTCTGATGGTCAGGAAAAATGAAAAGTCTGCTTTTGCTATTATGAACTGAAATTTGCAGCGATAATTTACTGTGATTTTGTTCACCGGGTCTAACGCAGAACGAGGAGTGATGTCTTGCGAAAGCATAGACCTGAAGAAGACCAGTGTTGGCTCATTGCCAAGCGCAGAGTTCTTCCGGAAAGTGCACCGATTACGCTCCGTTTATCAAGCATTTCAGTGTCAGCGCACACTAGTTCAGCCCATTGAAATGGAGGGAATAAGAACACAATCCGGCCCCACTTACGTGAAGAAATCCAATTTTTCGATCAAGAAGTTCCCCTGAATGTGAATTTGTCCTTCTTAGTAGTTGAAAAGCAATTTAGTGGATGGAATGCGAAAACCTTCTGATGCTGGGCCGGATAAGTTCGCCTTTTTTTATATTCCTATGCGTATATGTTTGTGAATGAATAATGGGAGAACTTGGCTCTTAAATGACTTGTGTACTGTATACGACCATTAAGCCACTTTCAGCTGCTTCATTCTGCAGATAATTCCTCTTCGACATCAGAATTGCTTGTTTGGTTTTATTTGATGCGCGAATCGCTCAATCTTTGCTGACTCATTTGCACTTCGCATCAGACGAATTGAGCCGACGTGATCAGCTATATGTGATAAAACGCGGAGGTGTTTCCGATGTCACGGCGAGGGAAAATTTCGATGCGCACACTCTTTAAAAAAGTCTGCTCTTTGATACTTGTAGAACACAGATTAAATGCGCGATTGTGCAAAACAAATTTTAGGGAGGATATCAGTACAGCTTGTATAAATTTTGTTCAGACACTTCTTGAAGTGAGCAGGATGTCAGGCTGATGTGACCGTTGTATCATGATTCAGAGGAGTTTCGGGAGAAAACGCCTGTGTGAAGAAAATGTCTTGTAGCTTGGAGTAAAAATCGACCGAGCAAGATGCAATAACATTCGCTATATGCTGGTATAGTAGGTGTTGCTATCAAATCTATTAGATTCTTCATTTGCAGCAGCTTTCCTGTATGTTGCTTCATAAATTTGACACAACGAATATTTTTTCGCGTGCTCATTTTGGATATTGCTGACATTACCCGGCTTGACTTTTTTCGTTTGAATAATATTCTCCGAGAAAAGTTTATTCGTAATGTTTTTCATGTCATGTTTTTTTCTTGGTGACATTTATTCTCCGACATCTTCTGTACGTAGTGGCATTTTCTTCCCCCCGGTGTTATCTCCATCCCGGCATCTTATTATTCTGAAGACGCCGTTCATGAAGACTACGCATGTAATACGACGGATGAGTCGAACGCGGCGACTCTGATTTCTTCGAGAATAATAACATTTAGCTTACGTTTGAAGAACTGCTTGCGAGAGCTAAATAGCAGGTCTATATTATATACTGTACTTCGCTCGAAATGATTTTGTTGTGGGGCGTAAATTCAAAATTTATAGAGCTCGGCGGAGCGCCGCTATTACAAAGAAATATCGTGTGTATATTCAAGTCTTAGAATGCTGATGATCATAATCTCGAGAAAACTCGATCGAAAAGAGACGATGAAAATGATGTCAGCAGCACCGAACAATGTGATGCAGATCGGGTTGAAATGTCTGTATAGTATCGCAAATTGCATAATGAAAAAGGCTGCGATAAGAGCTGTTGGATGCAATTCAGTTATACCATGGTCACTCCCGCGTAAGAGCAACCTAATATAATTGATTCCAAGCACACGATGGAGAATTTTCACGTTGTACCACAAAATTTAAGGAGTTATTTAAAAAACTGATTTTCCTACCGCATATATATTACCGGTACGCGCCAAAACCAGCATACCCTGGGAAATCAGAAAGTTGTTTTAATGCTTCTGCTGTATCTCATTGGAACGAATCCGGTACATTTCGGTCCATTCGAACATGTCTGAAACCTTTTAGAAATTGATTCTTAGCATATGTTTAACGGCAGTGTTTTTTCTTGCTAGCATCGTCTGTAAATGTTGAACCATTGATGCATCATCGAACCGAATTTTTCCGTTTGTTTTTGACTCCTCGCTGTTCCGGGAATTCACCCAAAAACATACTGCGCACGAAAAACCTTGTCCGAAGTGCGACAAAGTTTGCAAGACCGTGCGATTTCCCAGCATATTAACAACACATTTGAAAACTCAACTCAAACGAAGGTTCTGCATAACTAACCGATCACGTTCGAATTTTTCCACTTTTTTCAAACCTCCTTCTTACCCGAGCAGCAGCAATAGAAGTCGCACTCCATAGAAACACTCCCCATCCGGTTCATAATACTGTATCACATTTTTCAACAACGTCCTACGAACGCAGGTGGTATCAGATTACTTCATTTAAAATTTGAGAAACCGAAGCACTATCTTTGAATTAGTTTACTTTTCCTTTCGCTGAAAACACTCCTCTTTCGATAAAACGACAGTGGCTTACATCTGCTCTTTCTTCATCAACAATGCTGGTGCACAAGATCGAAGTGAAATTCGCAGGTTAAACGCTGCTAAATACAGTATTGCGAGACGGAGGCATTTGCAGGAGAGAAAATCCGGAAATCGTTTCGTTACTCAGGGAGATGATTTCTTTCAACCCGAGAATAATACTAGGAAAACATTCCACGCTTCATCGAAATCGTACAATTTTTGTTTTGACTAGTTCAGCGCTCCCTTTCGATTACATCGCGATTTTACCCATGATTGAAAGCGGAACTTGTAACATTCCGGCCCACTGATCTTATTTTTCCAACGATTACGAAGATGTGCATCTCTCTTGAACTTTTTTTTATGCTTTCGAATTCGCGAATTCTAGTTGACCCCGCGGTGACTTACGTTTCTACCACGTTTGAAGGAAAATGAATGAATGAATGAATCCATCTTGTTCGTGATTCAGAAATTATTTTCAAAAATACTGCACCCTGCTCGTCGAGATAGAAAAAGGCTCCATATGAAATAAAAAGACAGCATTTAGTTATAATTTCAGTAATTTTATTAGGAATACAAGAAGAAAAATCCATGAATCGAAAAACGGATAAAAAATAGTTCCGTATCTCTCCGCGTCCGCTCTGTAAGTTCTTTTTTCACAAGGGGGCAATATGTTTCGAATTTCAATACGTGATCAGCAACTTGAGACTTAGCACGAATCGAAAGACAAAAAGAAGAAAACAAACGCATTAGTTGATCACGAACGAAAAAATGTGAACTTTGAATAAATTAAATCGCTGCTTCTGCTCGTCTCAGGAGTTTAAGAAGATCTGCAACTTTAAATCAACAGCGTGAAGTCAAGACTGCGGGCTAGGACTACCAGCTACACCTGGCTGAAATGACATTCCAACACAATAGCGGGAAAATCTACCTATTTTTCAAGAATCACGCGAATAACTCTTTCAAATCCGCACCTTGCCCATCTCCGCTCGCGAAGCACTCTGGATAAAGCAGCAAGAAGAAAGGCAGAAAAACAAAGACGGATCCACGATCACGATGACCGACTCCTCGGACAGACCAGGCTCCGCTACAGCGTCAACTCGAGGTAACACCGAGCGGAAGTCTACAAAACGATGAAACACGCTTGGGCCAGAACGAGCAGTCCGGCGCCGAATTATCACAATGACGGCTAGTTATTAACAAGAAGGTTCTCTTCGGCGGAGTTTCGCATGTCCAGTTTCACGGAAATCGTCATCACACCCCAACATGCGGAATTCTCCCAGCAGTGCAGAACACAACAGGAGAAGAAATAGTACAACCTCGAATGAACAACTGCGTTAGGATTACGAGAGGGTCACGTCCCGAAATAGAAATCCCAACGAGGAAATCTCTTCACGTATCTTCCTTCAATGGAATCGTTTTTCGGATTCCAGAAGCTTAGCTTTCTTAAACGTTAGGCATCCAGTTAAAACGAGTGATTCCCGCGGAAATCCAGGTTGAATTTAGCACCAAACGTTCAAAATTTAAGCAAATGATTATTTTTTCCCCAGTCAAATTAATGTGACTGGAATGCTGTTCCGCACGCAACTATAACCTTCCAGCCATTCCTCAGTAAACACATTTCTCACGAACTTCGTCTCGGCCCCCAGGGAATGCCACGTGAAAATTAGAACAGCACTAAGTAACAGTAAGATATTAAGGGTTGAGTTTTCCCTTTTTCCACGAAGTCCACGCTGTGAATGAATCATCACTTCCAGCGCGGTTTATCATCACTCCCACGCTTCGCAATGTCCGACGCTCCAGATCCTTTCCGGGTCAATCGTGTACCATTTGAGGCCAACGACGAGGAAGTCAATCCGCTCCCACCTTGAGAAATCCTCGTTGACCTTGACCAATAGGAAGATATTATCAATCAATGCCAACAAAATAAATACAATTTTCGGCAGGCAAATGCATCGCGACGAGGATCCAACTCTCGCGCACTTTACATCAACATAAACCAAACACTGCAAAATAAGGGAACAAGACCCTCACGATTATGCACCATCAAAAGCATAGAGCGATCGGGTGAAGATGCAAAAGGGAGTGCAACATGAAACTCCTTTATAAACGTGCACGCACACAAAAGAAATGAAGTCTACGATCAAACTTCAGGTACCTCATCCTCGGGATAGCCGATGGCATAAGACCAGCAACCGAACCCGTCTTCCGCGACCTACGACAAACGTGGCATAATCATTAGGCATGCAATAATAGTCGTTGGGACAACAGAAAAGGCCTCCACCAGTTTAATTTCCAGCAGTAAAGTAAGCTTCCATCACAACTTCCCAGAACCAATTGAATTTACAACAAGAATTAGTAAGCATTGCGAGTTACCTTGCCGATGAGTCGACAGTGGTAGGGATGCTGCCGCTCGAAGGGGTCCGAGACCTGACGAATACGGGATTAGTGATTAGCTTTCGTTTTAGGAATTTAGGTGGATAAACCAGCTCTAGTTCAATCCTTTCCGTTTTACGGCGTCAAAGCGCAATTAGAACAAACAACTACAACAATATCAAGCCCAAAACCGATGTAGGAACACCAAATCAGTTCCTTGTTAAGGACTAAAAATCAAAACGACCAGATTCTTGTTACAGATTGAAGTTCACACCGATCAGCTTCATGTCAAGGATTTTAATTTTTAAAGCGTTATCACTTCCACGTCTACCACTTCACACAGTCTCCAATAAGAAAAAAAAAAGTTGAACAGTGAACGGTAAATCGGGGATATGAGGGATGGACATGTACCTAAGGCCCGAGTTCGCAAGGATTACCGGAAGGTTTGACACGGAAGATGCATGTTGCAGAGGCCTAAAGGTAAAAGGAAACACATGGTTAGAAAACACGAAACCAACCCACAAAAACTAAGCAAAATCACGCCACGGCTGCCAACATAAACGAACAGCAAACCGTACCAGAAAATTAGTAAACCACGAAAATTACCTAGGCGTTACGCCGGTCAGAACGGGGATTTTCGATCTGCAAGATGAAAAAAGCCAAGATCAGGAGAGCCTTCACGAAGCCACACGATTATGTCTCTACCAATCCAACATTTTATTATTTACCGTAATTAAACCACCACCAAAATAGATTTAAATGACAAGAATTTGAAACCGAAAAATACCTTGGTCCATTGGAAGCCGTCGGAACCGAGAGTTTCGGTCGTCTGTAAAGTGAGTCGAGCAACATTTTAAAACACCCTTCCAAAATAATCACACGTAAAATTTTCGACACCACGATAAATTGAAGATACAATGCATTGATAGAAGGTTAAGCCAAGCAATCAGCGCCCATTACCTGCTTTGCGCAGTAGAACTAGCCAAGGAAGAAAGACTGGACGTTGAAGAAGTGGGAGACCTGTGAAGAACACATACCCGAAACCATTTTTACAAAACACAAACGTAGACAAGAGAGGCCAACACCAAAAATTAATCTCAACTTCCAGTCGCACGAATGACAGGACGCCGAAATGGACATGAATGAAGTACGTCGCTCTGGGAATCACCTAGAAATCATGGGTGATGCTGGCGACCTGTAAGCAGCAGAAGTCAGGGGCGTGGAAGCCTTCCGCGACAAATTCCCAGTACTTCCAGTTCGAATAGGGATAGAGCCTGAGCGAGTTGGAGTTGAGCTGCGTCCTCCTACAATAGAAACGAGATATTAACAATTTTTCACGTGAGGTGCAATAGTACAGGTACATAAAGTAAATGATTGAAAATAAAAACACAATTACACAAATCGCTGAAAATTACTCCTTCTAATGCAGCATGATTAGAGAAAAACAGGATTTAGAAGTGTTAACATGAATTTGATGACGAGACTCGTAAGATTTCATACTTCCAGGTTAGGGAAAGAATATTTTTTCAATTAAAAGAAAAGGAGGTGACAAGTTACGAGGGTCAAGTTCTCGCTTTCCTGTCACAGATGATTATTTATTCAAGATTATCTGAATCCCATCCACAGGTTCCACTTACCAACGGTCTTGGAAGTTAGGCTCGGCGTCCGTCGCACAGTAGCGGATTTTCTCGCCGAGAAGCTGCCATCTGTGCTGTCAAGCGATATGTCGGAGCCGGCACGCGACGGAGGACGCGAACCACTGGTACCAGGGCCGCGCGACGACGGCCGACTTCCGGAGAGAGCGCCACCGCGTGATCCTTTACGCGGATGAAGGAACGTCAACGGTCCTTCGTTGTCACTCTGCGAGTCAGGTGTTCCCGCGGAGAATGATGTCCTGCCCATCGGAGTGCTCCGCGAGGTCTTCTCTCGAACCTTGAAAATCACAATGAAATGCGTAAAGCACAATCCTGTGCGTACCGATCAGCAAGCGCGGCACCGCACACGATCAAAATCCACGACATGATCCATTAAACGGAAAACGAGAAACCCTCGACAGAGTTAAGTTTTTTCCGGCTTCCCAGCAGTCTCCTAAAAGATACTGATCTGCCAAGTTTTCTCGACATTCGGTATAAACATACTTATCAGAATCAGATGGATAAACTAGAATCCACGTGTTAAGACGACGCTACGGAAATCTCGCAACGTCGCTCAACCAACCAAGCATTACACTAGCTCCTGAGAAAATGTATGGGACGGCACGCAATGGGGGAAATAAGAATACCGAGTCCGGAATGCCAACAGCAGATGCACGCAGGTCGAATACAGACTGTATTCGGATTGCGCGGAAAAAAACGTAGCCTATATCGACGGATCACACCATGCAACGTGCTTTCAGTAGCTTGATCAATTCAGTTAAGTCAAAGAACACGTATGATTCACACAAGACTTTCAGAAGACACGACATTAACTTGAACTGGTAGTGCGGGTATTAATTGGAACACAATGATCCTAAGCACTCAAGATACCCCATGAAGTAAGCACGTGGAAGATGGCCCCACAAAAACCGCTTGGGGCATGGGGATGTACATCCCCGAAGTCAGCCTCAGACTGTCCATCAGCGGCATCAAATGACGCAAGAAATATTCCGCTGAAGGAAGGGCATGAAAAGATGCGATTATGCAAAATCCGCAAACGTTTCCTCCCCAGTGTTCAGCCGAACAGTCAAACTAGTTCCTCCACCGCTTTTTAACACCATAAAGAAACACATAACAAAATACCTTTGTGATCGGACCGGTAGTCAGCAACGACGGCCGCTGACCAGATTGCGAGGGCGTCGACGACATTGTGAAGGGCAATCCAGAAGTAGACATGCCACGCTTTTCTTTAAAAGGCGTCATACTCTGAGCGCTGCCATCCGGCAAATTGAACTGCTCTCGAAGTTCGACGTTTGTTCGTCCCTTGGCTGCTCGATGATATTCATGCGCAAATACGGGGAAGGGTAAAACACACGTCAGTCGGCGTTAAAACGGTAAAAAAACGGGCATGCAAACGGCGACAAACAAAATTAAACTTGAATTGCATTATCGGGTAATCGGCACTTGCATACCCGGAGTGCAAAGAATATTATAAAAGCACTGCGAAAAAATAAAATCTCACGAAGTCGCGCCACACAATTTCCGAACTGCTATACCGTTACACGTGCAAAAATCAATACTGTACTACGGGGATCTCAATACCAAGAAAAATTGACGACACGGCAACCGGAGGCTGCACACGAAACACACGAAAGCGTGCAGGTTTTCGACCGTACGTGGGTGTGGTTCCATACACGAGAAACCGACTTGAATTAGCATGCTGAAACGTTAATCAATAAACCAAGCCTTACACAGGTACACTCCCAGTGGGCAGTCCGGTTCGTGCTCTTCTGGTGTAATAAGTTCTGGCAAGTGTAGGATAACCACTGGCCCGAGTCCGCGAAGATAAAAAGAATAAATCATGATGAATATTGATAGCTAAAAACCACCGCAAGTCAGATTAGTCGGGTGAAAATTACATGGGATTATGAACAGTTGCTGACAGCGTAGCAGCCAAGAGACGTTTCTCAAAGCGATTCCCAATTCAAGTCGCAATGATTTAGAGGTACCCCGAAAAGTCAACGGTAAGAGATAGTTCTTCGATCGGCCGACTGGAGAGGCTTGTCGAGTCTCATGAAGTGAGCATAAAAAAAGAAAGAATTCCTTACCTCGACAGGGGTCGTTCTTTACCAAGAACTCGTCAAGGGCAACCCAACCGCCTCCGACACGAACCATAACAGTTGAACGTAAAATTCGGACCAACCGGAGCTTCTGACTCTCTCCAAACTAAAATAAAAGATCATTCATCTCAAAGAACCAAATTTTCTCGATTGAGACAGCATTTATTTAAAAAAAAAATGCAGTATTTATTAGGAAAAACCTTGCAATGGCCGTTAATGTTTGTTACAAAAATGAAATAAGAATACATACCCGATATTTCCCTTCACCCACGTGATGAACACGGAATTTGTGTCTGCATGTACACTGAGCAACTTGACGCTGGACTTCGTCTTCAATCTGTTCTTGTTCCGTCAAAGGCAGGTTCCAATCCGGGCGCAATGCAGCCATGAACTCCTGGTGATCGATGTATCCGTCGTTGTTGCGATCAATGATGTCAGCAACCGCCTGCATTTCCAGGCGACTCGTCGGGAATTCTAGAAATAACTGATGGTAACAGAAACTTCCGAGACACACGAATTGACGATCTCACTTGATTTTATGATGCCATCAATGAAATCTGGATCTTTCAACACGCGACCGTCGTTGTCTTTATCCATTTTCCTGAACAGATCCATGGCTCGAGATTTCTTGTGGTTCAGCCACTTCATAAACTGATGATTAACACAAAAGATTAATAGGAAGATGTTTGCAAGCCCATGTTAAAAAAAGAAAAACTCACCCTCTTACGCCATTCTTCGAACGAAAAATTTTTCAGGCGTTCGACCTCCTGGAGGTAGTTGTATTTGTCTTGAAGCCGTCGCTGGCGATCCCAAGCCATCATCCACACAGTCCTCCATTTTTCCCACAGTTCTCTCGCACGCGGATTCTTGATCGTGGGCTCAGCAAGCGTCACTTTGCTAAATTAAGTAACAATGATTTTGAATAATCGAACTTTGTAAGAAGCCCAACAGTGGAACGCTTATTTCGCCAAAAGCTCCGAAAAATCTAAAGGAGGTACTGAGGAGGCAACACGCCGAGAGGAAGAGTCGAACCCCGCGAGTATCTATCAACTGACCTTCCCTTTCGACTAGGACTCGGACTCGGGCTACCAGCCGGCTCCAAAGGAAATCTAGGACCAATGTGTGGCCATTTATCCGGAGTTCGGTCCCGGTCAGGCGTCGATCGACTAATTAAATCAGGAACCGAGCAAAAACGAAACCAGTGAACATCGACGCAACGAAAACAAAACACTAAAATGCCATTACATCAAAGTCCCCTCCCAATCTCTGAAATGAACGTGCGTGCTCGAAAGGTGCATCTTTCAATAAATTCAAGCACCGAAAAGCAAACTTTCTCGCAAACGAATCCTCTCACATAGCAAACGTAAGCAAAAGCTTCAGCAAATCCACCGAAACACTTGCAGTTTCCAACCGCCAAAAGCATGCGACGGCAAGAAATTCACAGCAGGAATCAAGAATTTCAATTCAAAAAACTGTACAGCAAATTTCCTCCAGATTTCTGAGCATTCACAAAAAGTAAATACGCCTGATAAAATCGGGAGGAAAATTGCAGCACGAAGACGTAAGCGCACTTCACTTACTTGGCGCCGTACATCCAAGGTTTGGGATAATCGCGCATTGGTGACAACTCTCGACCAGGAGATACTCGACTGCGTCGAGATTTTTGCGAACAAAATTGATCCAACCCAAACCATCGGAGATAGCAGGCACCATCAACGCAAGAAATCCGCAGGGGGAAAACCAAAAACGAACAAACAAAACCCACGCAGTCAGGCACCAAACCACACAGTCGAATCCTTTTCCAATACTGTGAACGAAACTCTTCCTCTATCATCAAAACTCCATTCACGTGCAAAAAGTAATCCACAATTAAAAATCCAGGAAAAATTGCTTTGGAATGAACAAAGGTAATTCGAAAAAAAAAAAAAGCTGAGCGACCTCCTGCATTTCACTGAAGCTGGCAAAATCGAAGCAAAAACCTTCTTCCATAAAAAAGAAGGCCCGGTGATTCAGGATCTTACCTGGAACGACGCGACCCAAAGTCACGATCAGGAGAAGATTCTCTACTCGGGGTTTCCGGCTCACGACTGGAAAGAGTGGAATAACGAGAAAGGATGCATGCTACAGTGAAGAAACATTCCGAGTGCCACAACAAAACAGAACGACGAAATATTCCACTTTTACCCAAGAACACGAGGAAAATGGGCATTCAGACACTTCTTAGAAAAAAGATTTCGAATTTGACCTCGTGCAACGACAAAAGTTCCCGTTCAACTGCATGCTTCCACAAGATTCAAACACAGTACAGTACTTTCATTTTCCAATACAGTACTCACATTCTAATTCAAATAAGATTTACCTATTCACTATATTGCGAAACGTGACTTGACATGCCGTGCAAAGATAGGCTTCCAAGCACCTGGTAGTAAGTGAGAAGACAAACCTGGCTTGGCGAGATGCTTTGGACACCCTCCGGTCGCGCAAAGATGGAGGTACTGTTGTAGACGGTCTCTTTGGCTTGCAAACACGATCAACATCGGGTTGTCGTTTTGCCATGTCTTCCATGAACTCCTGCTTCCACATCATATCATATGCAGGCTCTTAATTTCTTAACAAATAAATCAACATACCTGATGTTCTTTTATGAGTACTTCAATCGCAGGAAGATCATCAGGAAGCTGCTCCGATTCAAGCGTTTCCAATGTGCGTTCCCGCTCATTCAAGTAGCGCATGAGCTCTTCTAACAAATCTGCCAGGTCTTTGAGCTGTCTCAAATGATCCACAAGTCTTTGCTCACGCTATTGAAAAAAGGAACATGGATGGTGTTCAAGTAGTCAAGATGAAATAATAATCCTTGCCTGTTTCGCCCAAGAGGATACTTCATCCCAACGAGTCTGAATGATGTTCATCCAATGCTTGATGACTGTCATGCCGTCAGGATGACATTTGTTGTAAATCTCCTGGGCAAGCGCGAGAGTACGGTCCTTATCAATTTCCTTCATTTCCAGCTCGCGCATGAATCTGAACCGAAAAGAAGTTATTAAAAAACAACAAAACCGCAGTTAGCTAAGGATAGTACTTGTGGTGATCGTTCAGTTGCATCTGCGTCTCTTCTTCCGTGTCGGGAAGCGGACCAGCGAAGCGTAGCTTCATCTCAGCGTCAGAAAGCCATTCCAGCAACATGTGGACGGCCTTATGCAGTTCCTCCGCTTGTTTAAGCGCATCTGAAAGTCGACTAGATTTGCTGTCTGAGAGGCGAACGACCTTTTCCCAAACGGTGCTGAGATCTTTCGTCTGATTCTTTATCGTCACGGCGTCTTCTGCACTTGCACTCTTCAGAAGTTCTTCGGCCGTCGTCTTCACGGAAGAGACTTGACCAGCGCGTTTATCAAGCTCTCCACGGAAAGTATTATGCTGCTCAACGAGTCCCATGACAGTATCGAGATCTCCATGCACAGGGCTCTCATGACTCAACTCCTTCTCGGCTTTTTTCAGCCAGTCGAGCAAAGCCCCAATGGCGTCTTTGAACTGTCCAGAGAATAACAAAGCCTCTTCCAACTTGCGCTGGCGATCGACGGAATTAGTGCAAACGGCATTCCATTTGTTCTTCAGCTCGTTCATCATATCCTGAAGATGGGTGTGATCGGTTTTCGGCGCTTTGTCCTTGAGAACACGACCGGCTTTCATGGTGGTATCATACGCGGGTTGTTTCGATCCAAGCTGCCGCTGGAAGTCTTTGTGCCGGTTGAGAAGAGATTTGATTTTATCCGGATCATTGCCAAGACTTGCTGTCATCTCATCCAACTTTGACTTCGCGTCATCCAACCAGGCGCAAAGTTCCATCCAAGAATCGTGAAATTCCTTAGCTTCTTTATAGCCGTGGTCCAAAGCACGAGTGCGTTCGGCGGATTTCGAAACAACACGCTCCCAGCGATGCTGGACACTGATCAACAGATTCTTAATTAGGATAACGTCTTGCTTTTGACTGAAGTATTTGAGATGCGTTCCTTTCTTGTCCAGATTCAGCATTACTTCTCGATGCGCACCAACGTCCTTCTGGAATGATTTGTGCTCCTCGATTTGCTCCAGGATAGTGTCCATGACCCGACTGACAGGATTCAAGCTACCCAATAGCTTTTCCGCTTTTGTGAGCCAGTCTACGAATGACTGAAGAGCATCGTGAAATTCAGTTGCTTCTTTGAGGGCGATTTCTAGCTTAATTTTCTTGTCATTAGCCCTGTTCAGAACGGAGTCCCAGCGTTGCTTGAGAGTTCGCAAGTTGTGCTGGAGATTCGATGCAGCTCCTTCAGTAGAACGCTTCAGGTAGCCCTGGCCCTGCTGAAGAACGGAGTCAACCTTAAGTCTGTTCTTTTCCAACTCGTCAAAAACTTCCATGAAGCGAGCGAGCTGCTCCTTTGCTGTTTCAGGCAAACCGCCAACAGGCTTTGATGATGACAGTGCACTATCGACGTCACTCATCCACATCAGTAAATCTTGAATTTCAGCGTTGAAAGCTTGAGCCTCCTTCAAGGCATCTTCTAGCTCTTGCTGACGATTTTCTGCCTTCTCTTGGAGCCCGTTCCACCGCTGGTTCAACTCGTTCAATCGTCTCTGCGTCGTCGTGGCGTCCTGCGAATTCTTATCACTCTCGATCAACTGGTGTCCAGCATCGTTCAGTGTGTCAACGCTCGACTGATGCGCGTGGATATCGTTCACAAGAACCTTTAGTTTAGCAAGCTCAACTTCAATCACAGCTGGATCGCCAAGTACGGGTTGGAGAGAGTCGAGCGTGCTTTCTGTGCGGTTGATCCAGACCAACAGTTCCTCCAGAGCGTGTTGGAACTGCCCCAGACGAAGTAAGGCATGTTCAAGAGCACGCTGGCGATCGACAATGCCCTTCAGAAGTGTGTCCCACCGTCGATTCACTTCGGCCAATGGTTTCTTGATTCGAGTAGCCTGATCAGGAGAAGTTCGCGCCGTCAGCTCTTGCGCTTGACGATTCAGGGCTTCCACCTTCACCATTTGCGGGTCGACGTCCGATTTGAAATCCTTCAGCTGTCGAATTTGCTCCTTAACCGCATCGATGTCTGCTCCAAGAGCTCCCATTTTTTCAAATTTATTCTCGGCGGATTCCAAGAAATCGAGAATGTTCTGAAGCGTGTCATGGAACTCCATTGACTTTTCCATAGCATCAATCAGATTCTGTTCACGTTTGGCGTACAACGCCGTGACGTTGTCCCAGGCGGAATCGAGGTCTTCAATGTGCTTCTTCACTTCGGGTTTATCGGGTTCCCCACAGACCGTCATCAATTTCTTTCCAGTTTTACGGCATTCTTCAACCTCTGGTTGAGTTTGTTCGATCTCGTTTTTGATGTCTTCCAGAGCGAACTTCTGACGTTCGATTGCAGTGGGCTCGACTGCTGGCGGTTCTTGAGAGGACAAAGTTCGTTCTAAATCTTTGAGCGAACGCATGATGGCTTGCAACTCATCCCAGAACTTCTCTGCCAGAGCCAAGGCATCGTTGAGGGATTTGCCTCTGTTGTTACCAGCAGCCTGAATGTGACTCCACAGCGAGTTGAGACGAACAAGCTTGGCTTTAATGTCCCTTACGGCAGGATCAGCTGTACTTCCAGCCTTGCTGATAACGTCGTCGGCAGCCTTTTTCACAGCCTCATATGCAGATTCACGTTTACCCAGATCTTCCAATATCGCAGTATTTTCGGCAATTTGTTCTTGAATTTTGCCAGGGTGCGCAGAGATCGGTTCTGCATTATTAACTTGGTCAGCAGTACTTGCCAACGCAGAAAGCATGCCGTCGAGTTTATCAGAAAATTGAGACGTTTCTTGCATCGCCCGCTCAAGCGCCTGCTGACGATCGCGAAGGATCGCCTTCAACGCTCCGTAGCGTTGGTTGTCCACTTCTAAGATGTCATGCACCTTCGCTGCATCTTCGTCTCCACACAGACTTTTCAGAGCCGAGCCGGTTTTGTTCAGCTTGTCTACCAAAGGCTTGTGTTCTGAGACCGCCTGCATCAGGGACTGGAAATAGATAGTCATAATAGTCATAGTCATAGAAGGTTATCCCAAAAACGTTTGGAAGAACAGAATTCGTTGACCGTAAAATGGCATTGATAAAATTCAGATACTGTACTGTAACTTACTGCATTGGCTTCTTGCTGTCTCATGATCTGCTCGGCTCGCAAAGAGGGCATGTCCATCATATTCGTGGCTTGTTCGATTTCATCCAGCCAGGCACACAAATCTCCGTGAGCATCATACAAATGCACAGCCAGCTGCATGGCTTGTTCCAGAACACCGAGCCTGTCAACCGCAAGCCGGGAGACATTTTCCATAGTTTCTTTCAGATCATCCATTCTTTCTCGAAGCAGTGATGTGTCTTCCTGTTTAGATGCTTCTCGAAGAAGCTGGAATACAGAAAAAATTAGAAAAAAACTCAGAAATGTTGACTGCATCCGTATACCACCTTCTTTGCATTCGCCAAAACTTCGCGACCACGTCCTTTCTGTGAGGAGATATCGTCAGAAAGCGCACGATGCTCCATCAACTGTTCACGGATAGTTTCTGGATCTGAAGACGGTGGCTCGGCATCCTGAAGCTGCCCTTCGGCTTCGCGGAACCATTCCAGCAGCTCATCCACATCATTCACAACCTCCAATGAGCGCTATAATCATTCATAAACCAGTCATTTCATGAACCCGAAGAGTGAGTCGCGTAAAAACCTCATTTCACTTGAAACAAATTTAGTGAGTAAAGTCAGAGTTGACTTCACGTACAACGAAAACGACATGCATCAGGATTGCCAGCAAAAATAGCAATTACCTGCTTGGAGAGCTGTACACGCTCAGCACGGCGCTGCACTTGTTCACAAACGGCTTCATAGCGACGGTTGTCGCGCGTGACAAGAGATTCTATTGTTGCAGCACCTTCACCGGGAGATAATTGGCACAGCTGAGGTCCAACAAGATTCACCGCTTCTAGAAGTGGGCGAATATCCTGGATTCCTCTTTCGAGTAGGCGGATTTCGTTCTCGACAGCGGCAAAAGATAGCTCTGTCACATTATCGCGATCCAAAGCAGATAGACGCTCCTCGGCATCCACCAACCAATCGGTAACGCGATTATGTGCCGCATGAAACTGCTTCACCAGACGAAGGGCTTCCTCGGCGTGCTTATGTAATTCAGAACCCTTGCTCATCAGTTCTTCATGCTTCCGCTTGATGGATACAAGTTTGTCTTTCAACTGCAACGCTTCTTCAGATGAGATGTGCTTCATCAATTCAAGCCCACAGTCACGAACTTCATCAACTCTAGTTTCATTCACAACGATTTCCTCAGTAAGCTGCGTGAGCTGCGCTGTTTGCTCGATGAGTTTATCAGTGAAGACAGAGAGGACCTTGAAGCAGTTCAAACGCCTCTCCATCTCATCAAGCCAAGCCAGAAGATCTTCATAGCTGAGGACCAATTGACGCAAACGAGTTTTCGAGTCATGCAGAAGTTTTCCGAGATTATCGGAATCTTCAACAAGGACTGCGTAGCGATCTGTGGAACGCTGAACTTTATCGGCCACGTGTTGAGCATCTTCATCGCCAACCAAGGACATCAGCGCCTGGGCAACATCAGTTGTATCTTGGAATGATGGTTTCATCCCCAAAATGTCGTCGTGAAGCATTTCGTGCTGCTCGATGAGTCGCTGAATTTTATCCTCATCAGTTGGGACAATTTTCATCCCATTGATCTTCTTTTCAGCTTTCTCCATAAACTCGTTCAATGGCAGAAGTTTGTTCTGGAATTCCTTCGCTACTTCCATGGTTGTTTCTAGGATTTCGGTGCGAGTTTTAGCAGCATTTTGCAGGGCATCAAATCGCAGCATCAGATCTTGAACCTGCAGAAATATAACAATTACAACACACTTCACCTACGAAGATACATCAAGTCTAATGTGAAACTGTAATATGAAAACGACGTTGCTTCCGGCACGCATGCATCAAAGTTGTTTACACAAACTCACCTGATCTTCGATTTGTTTCCTTTCCGAAGGTTCTGCGTTGGCAGCAACTTCTTGACCCTGAGCAGCAACGGAGTCGAGCGAATGCTGCTGATCCATGAGCATCTTGTTGAAGTACTTCTGCCCTTGCAGTTGAGCTCTTACATCTCTGTAGTCCGCAGATGGTGGTTTCTGGCCAGCAACCATATCTTCTTTGTCGGCAAGCCATTTATCCAATCTGGAAAGAGCCTCTTGAAATTTTCCACTGTTGAGGAGACCAACGTCCAGTCTTCTTTCTCGCTCATTGAGCTTTTCTTTTATGGTATTCCATTTGTCATTCAGCCGACCCAAATCAGCTTCCATCGACTGGGTGTTGACGCCAGGTAAAGCCGATTGAATCAGCCCTTGGCCCTGACGATTGCATTTATCAACTTGCTGTGCCAAAGGCTCCATCTTAGCTTTCGTGAATTTAGCGAAATCTTTTTGTTGGGCCCGAATGGTTTCCACGTCTCCACCAATTGGTTTGAAGTCAGATACTTCACGCGCGAGATCCCCAAGATCTTCCATTACCCCGCCATGGAGGTCGTAGAAAGCTTCGAGCCGTGAATGAGCAGATAGGACATCTTCCGCGCGGACATTTGCACGATCCTGAACCCGGGACAATTGTTTTTGGATTCCATCAAGTTGTTCTCTCGCAACTTTCGCATCAATGGTGTATCCATCCCGGTCCAAATCGGAGCACAACTGATTGGTGCTCTCAAGAATATCTGCCTTTTGGTCCAGCTTGCGCTGAAATGATTCGATTTCATTCCGCTGCTTTTTCAGGGTATTGAGGTCACGCGCAACTGGTTTCATGGCATTCAGCTCTTCTTCAAGGTTGCCAAGATCCATTGTGATGGATTTCACTCTGTCTTTGACGTTGCTTACAGCAGCAGATGCACGTTCGAGATCTTGACAACGGTCTTCCAGCCCGTTGCACAAATTGATTAGTCTGTGCCTCAGGCCATCGATGTCTTCTTTGATGTGCTGTGAATCGGACCCTTGCATTTCGGCGGCATGACAGAGTTTATCGCCAAGATTTTCAACATCATTCAGTGGGTTCTCCAGCTGACGAGCTTCGTTTATGAGAGTTTTCATTCGGTCCAGCAACTTGGGATCTTTCGAGGCATCACCAAGAGAATCGTGCGATGCGAGCTTGTCTTCAATGCGCTGCATTCGATGTCCCAAGTCCTTCACTCGATCGTTATAGATGTTCAAATGCTGAGCGATTTCCTCCAAAGTCTGCAGCCTGTCCATGATACGGTTGTTCAAGCTATCCCACTGTTCTAGCAAAGCTTTCAGGATATCCTTCACACCTTCTTCGTCAAGATCGCAAGCCGCAAGAAGAGCTTCGCCGTGCGATTTGTTCGTTTCATACTCCTGAGCATGACGTGAAAGTTCGTTTTTGAAGCTTTGCATCTCTTTCAGCTGTCGCTCCACTTCATGTTTTTTGAAACTGATCGGACCGATCCGATCGAGTTTGTCTTCCATCTTCGCCATCCACGGGAGGAAGATGCTTTGGCTAGTCACGAAGCGACGACAATGCTCCATACAACCTTGAAGCCTCGTGTGACGGGAGACAGCTTCACGCTTGAGCTTATCCCATTGACGTTGAACCATGTCAAGACTTTTTTGCAGGCCTCTAGAGTCTCTCACAGAACCCTTAGATGCAATTTCCTGGCCTTTGTTGGTCAACATGATCACCTCATGTTCCCGGCTCATGATTTCCTTGTAGAGAGGTTCGAAAGCTTCCACCTGCTCGCGAAGCAAATTCTCGTCAGCGGATACGAGGAGCTTATCCTTGACATGATCAAGCATGTCATTTAGCCATCCAAGAAGCGCCTCGCAAGTTCCACTGAATTCTCGTTCATCCCTCAGACTGAGTTCCAATTCTGCTCGTCTGTTATCAAGCTTCCTTTGCAGCTGCATGTGCATGCGCTCAGCTTGGCCAAGCATATTCTTGATGTCATTTCGTGATGCTGCATCGGCAAGAACCTTGGAAAGGTGTTCACCTAAGCTGGCCGCTTCAGCCAATGGTGGACGCTGTTGATCCAGATCATTCGCCAATTTCTGAAACAAAACAAAATTAAAATACAAAATCTGACATGCATAATATAATATCCCAAATGTAGATACTGATACGGTAATCTAAAGTATCTACAGTGTAATCTGTAACTTGATACTGTAATCGAAAAAAGCAGGGGATCCCAATAGATCGGGGGATCAGTGAAAATAGGGTCGGAAAAAAAATCAAATTGAAAATTGCCACGCCGGAAAGGAATGACTCACAAAAAGAACTCCAAATATTTTTTCCGAACAAAAATAAACAACTTGTAGGAGCATTCGCGACTGCTCAGTTCTATCCATGTTTCCACTGAATGACAATTCGAATCTCTATGGTTTATCGGAAGGTCTAATGCAGCGATTAAAAAAAAGCGAACACCAACCTCGATTTTGTTCAGTTGGCCCTCGAAATCTCCACCGATCGGACCGAGATCTTCGAAGTCATCCGAAACTTTTTCCAAGGATGACTGAATGCGACTGAGCAATGCGTTGAAATCTTTGGCAGCACCAGCGGCTGCACCAAGGGCAGCATGGCGTTCGTCCAGGCGCTCCAACAAAGCATCCCACTTTTGATTCAAATGATTCAGCTTCTCAGTGACTTTTCGGGCATCAGAAGAATTCGGATCAAGTTTCTGCAGAATGCTGGACCCGAGATGGTTCAGCTGCTCCAGCTGGGTATACTGCGCGTTGAATTCGTCTCGGAGAACTTGGACTTGTTGTAACTGGGTGTTGACGACCCGCGGATCCGCAGCAATGGGTCCAAGGACACTCATCATTTTGTCTTTGGCAGAAAGCCACCCAGCGAAATTCTCGCAAGAATCATGGAACTCCTTGAGTCCGTCGAGGAATTCACAACGATTCTTGCAAGTCAACTGCAATTCGTTCCATCGCTGATTCGCTTCTTTCACACGATCCTGCAGCTCAACAGAACCCGGAACTGTCCCATGCTTTTTCACTAAATCAGCTGTCTTGTTTTTCAGACTGTCCAAACTGGGCTGCTGGTCGTACAAATCCTCTTGGATACTCTGAAGAATTAACGTTAGAATTTCCGGTGTGATCATCCGGTACAAGACTGGCAACTTGAGACGCTTTACCACAAAATAAGAAAACAAACACAACATGCGGTTCGACAAACTCACCCGAACAAGTCGAAGCAGTTTGTCTGTTTCCTCTCGGTTTTGAGGAAATGATTCTCTAGGCACCTTGCGCTCCAAGCGATCCATATTAGCCAAGAAATTTTTCAATGCATCAAGCTGTCGCTTGACTTCATCTTTCATACCCTCAAGACTCGTCTGGCGATCTTGAAGTTTCATTCCAATGAGACTGTAGCGATTATTTATCTCACCCAGCTGCTCTTGAATTAATCCAGTCTCTGCACAAAGACGAGAAACATTGGCCCTCCGACCTTTTTTTTTTTTTGATCGCAAATTTTTTTTACCATCGAGTTGCAGATTGATATCCGTAGAGATTCGTCGATTTGTTCCGAAAATGCTCATTTTGCCCGTGGATTGATTCCTCACGTCTAAGGAACCCTTCCGGCTCGGACTGGATCCAAGAGAAACCAACGAGGCTCGCTTCGTGGGGCTGACTGAACTCCTGCGACGCCCAGCTGCATCCAGCGTTTCTCCCCGAACAGTAGCTTCATAAATCGAACCCAGCTCATTCACTCGATCAATGGTTGATGCATAGTCAGTGTGTTCTTTGACTAGAGGCTGTAGACATGGAAATAATTGTATACCATCACGAACAATGCAGCAATCGCTACGAGTACCTTCAATGCATCAAGCTGTTTTTTCAACAAATCTTGCTCGAGCGCTACAGGTTGAAGAGAGTCCACAGATTTCTCCATCTGCGACAGCCATTGAAGAACCTGCTCACGTAATTTGTCATACGCATGGCGTTGCTCAGCCCGAGATTTATTCAGCTTCAATCTTTCCTCTAGAACTGCGGCAAGTTGCTTCCAGCGAGCTTCAAGGCTCTGAAATAAATCAATATTTCATTTAAATTTCTTGGCGACAAAAATGTTTCTAACATTCGAAATAATAAAAAACCTTCATCTGTTCCTTGATCGGGGTAGCGTCAGTAATGTCCTTCTTGTTCACCAAAACACGTCCAACTTTCAACGTTACGTCGAAATCGTGAACTTTTTGGTCTCTACTGCGAGCAACGTCCATCATTCGCGCATTCAGCGCTTCAACGTCCAGCTGGTTACTGTCCGGTGAGTCCAGTATTTCTTCGATTTCGGCAAACCATTCTTCGAAGGTGTTCGCGCCACTCAAATATGCATCAAGATTGCGCGAAACCTCATCCAACAGAATGGTGCGAGTGTTGACTTTCTCAACGGTTTTCTCAAACCTAGTCATAGAAAAAATTGGCATTATTTTCCATTAAATAAGAACGGAAAGTCGAAACCTGACCTTGTTGTCATCTCCCTGAATTTGCTTTCCAGTTTCTTCGCTAGGCGAGGATTATATGACGTCTGAATCATTTGGAGAGCGGATTGTGTCAACGACTGTATGCTGGGTCTATGGGCTTCAACGTCTGCTTGCAGCATGTTGTGCTCTTGAAGTTGCTCATTCAAGCGTTCACGGTTTAAACTCACTGGCTTGAACGTGGCCCTGCGGAAAAATTCCACCAGTGGAGAACAAAGTTCACCAAAAATATTAGACCAAGAAAACTAGCAGAACTTCCTCGAAACGTCAAAAATGCAAATTTCAATGGTACTGAATCTACAAATATATAAAAACTATACTCCTATACCTCAGATTATTGTCCAGCTGGTTCAACCATGAAACCTGAGAATCAATAGCATCTTGAATATCCTGGCATTGGACCAATGCACTTTCGATGGCTTGGAACAAATTTTTCACAGCATCGTCCATCACTTTATAGCGGCCATCAAGGTCTTGCTGCGCGCTACTTAGACGAGATAATTCAGCTGCTGATGCATTACCTTCCAGGGCATCAACCAAATTTTTGGTTGCCTACGAATAATTCAAGCAATTATTTCTTCTCGAACTGCAAGCATATTAAGTGCGTGCAAGGCAGTACCTGCCGGGACTGATCAAACAGTCTGGCTTGAGAAAGTATTTCATTGCGTAATTCTTTGGCACGATCCAACTGCTCTTGAATTGATTTCAGCTCTGCTGCAACGGGTTCACTGCAAACTTTACTTGCTCTCGGTTCCATGTCCCGCAACCAAACTCTTGCGTTCTCCATCGCTTCCACATACTGTCTTTGACGGTCGCTCACTGACGAGAATCTGTCCGATAACTTTTTCGCTCGAGTCAGAACGTCTTGGAAGAGCGCAGAAACTTCTTGAACTTCTTGCCGAATCTTTGATTCGTGAGACTCGATGTGCCCAAATCGTTGGGGCAGGCTTGAGCGGAAGGCATTCAGAAGCTTCAAATGTTCCTTGAGAAAGAGTGAGAATAAAATAAAAAAAAATTGTCCACACGACTGGAAGAATACTGTTGAAATATTTGTACCTTAGATTCATCAAGGAACTTCTGGGCACTCATTGTTATGAACCTTAGATCAGCTTGGTGAGCCATAACATCTCCAAGGAATTCTTTCACTGTTTCCACCTGATGCCGAGCCTTGTTCAAATCGGTGAGCGACTTCTCTTTGTCATCCAAAGTCTTCTGAGCTCCAGAGAGCCAGTTGATGAAAACTTCTCTTTCAGAATGATATTTAATCAAATCTTCCAAGCCAGTTTGCAATTTTCGCAAGGAAAGATCCGCTTGAGTGTTCGCAGCACTGAACCTACGTTTCAGCTCTTCCCCGTAATGTTTAAGATTGGAAATTTCCTCTGACGAGAGAAACTCTGTGCCCTCAACCGAGATCAAATCGATTTGGTCCAGCGTCGAATACACACTACGACCATGAGCTTCGATGTCATCAACGATTTGCTGGGAAGAAAAAATCAATTCACCAATGCCCCATCAAGGGAGCAGTTCAAGACAAAAATACCTTGAGATTGTTGATCTGGTTCCGCAGTTTATTCGAGTCTTCTTTGACAGGATCTTGAGAAGCAAGCTTGTTTTCCACATCCCCGATCCAGTCCAGTAACTTCTCAATGGAATCTCTGCAGAGTTTACATCTCTCTTCCATAGCAAGCTGAAAAAATGAACGCGGAATCTGTAAATACCGGAGTACCCCGACAACCGAACAGAAGTCATTACGCTTCACCAATACAAATGTGAGTGAATAAAAAAGCAAGCGAACGATTTGCGCTGTCAAAAGGTGGGCTTAAAATACTGACAAGCTACTTCTTTCGATCTTCAATCAGCAACCACTAATGTTTCAAATAATAAAAAAATCCTTTATCCTGACCACACAAGATGTTCATGCTAAGTTAAAACGGAGCTGCCAATTTAGGGGTAAGCAAAAAGTCACATCAGCATTAGAGAACCGCCAACACCAACAAATGTTAATACTGTAATAGCGTTGAATTAGTGATTTCATATGATGGGTTTATTAGTGAATTCATATGATGCATCTGGGGGATAAGAGCAGTATGATTTCCACCTGAAAATAAAACAAGGATTCATTAAAAATTTAGCACAGAAATGCTGTGGAATGCGAAACGAATGGAATCGGGGCAGTGAAGATGCTTCCACCACATGGAAGGAGAAAAATAAAAAAGCGTACATAAAAATTATGCGCAGCCGCAACGAAATCCACCTTAAACCAGCCTGGCAGGGGGACTGCACGAAATGAATTGGTCCCAAGACAATGCTCAGGTAAATGAAAATATCCACAATTGAAACCAGCATCACAGCTAGACTAGTGCCACTAAGCAGATCCCAGCTGCTAGTTTGCCGTTGAGGGTGGATGAAATCTTACCCTGTCTTTGGCAGCAACAAGAAAACCACTGCGGTAGGCATCCTGAAGACTTAAAGGATTATCGCCTTTCGCGTTGAACATTCCAGTTTCACCATCCAACAGGCCGCATTTTAATGCTTCCACAGTTGTAAGAAAACTTCCAGTTATAGGAATCTTGATATAATCTGCGGTGCTGCTCACAATACCATCGCTTAGAGCTTGAGACAATGTTTTTGCCTCACTGCCGAACACGTCCTTGACAACACAAGTATTCGGATCCCACGCATTGAATTCCAGCGCTTCACACAGAGTTATAGCGCTGGCAGATGGAATGAGGATCCTGTTTTTTATTGCAGTTTCCACGTTCAGCAATTGATGAGTCTTACTATCCAGGATTAGATTTGTAGAATCGTTAATGAGATTGTGGTCCACTGATTCTTTCAGATTTAGAAGCTTTTTCATCGCAGTGTGCTTCACAACAGCTGAATGACGGTCCAGCAAACCTTCTCCGAATGACTGTTTTAGTCGGATTTTCTTCTTTGATGGAGGCACACTGAGCATTCCTGTCGTTACATTCAGATATCCTTTCTGAATAGCAAAATCAAGAGTCAATCGCTCTTGCAAGAAAATCACGACACCTCCGTTGACAAGAATGCATAGGTTTTTCTTTGTTCCGGAAATATCATCGAGATATGACCTGTCTTCGAGTGAAAATGCGCCAGACAAGAGGACATCCCTCAAAGAGGCTGAGTCTTCATCGGAAGTATTGAAGAATTTAGCCGTGTCTGGGTGAATCAGGTCATTCTTCAATGCGTAATCCAAGGAACAGTGAAACGCCGGCCTTTTCCGCATATCAACAAATGTTAAATCTGTCAAATTGATGAAATCGTCATCCAATGCTTCTCGGAATCCCAGAGGCAACCGCACACTTCGCAACAATTTCTTGTCGAAGGCAGTCTTCAATGATACTTTACACGCATCCGACGGACTAAAAACTTGCGCAGAATTTGCATCAATGGTTCCGTCTCTCACTGCAGCTCCCAAGCTCTTAAACTCTTTCCCATCGGGGGATACATACACCGTGCACAAGGAACTGATCAAGCTTTTCTGCAAGGCTTCTTTCAAGCAACACTTCGTACCCCGATTAGGGTCTTCAAATAAACCAGTCGACTCTTCAAATAATCCCATTCGGACAGCATATTCGACAGTCAAAGGTAGTTCAGTATCCAAGATGAGACCCTTCCGAATAGCAGCGTCAAGAGTTAGTTTCTTCTGATTCACAGTGATATAAACCCCGTATTCAAGGAGTAGTTTTCCTTCTTGAGCTGCTTCCCAAATATTCATCAGCTTGCCGGTAGCATCGTGACGCACTCTCAATGAATCCATACACAGGATGCCGTTTTTGAATGCTTCAATGACGGTGATGTATGTCCCAGTTTTTGGATCCATGACCTTCCAATTCTTGGAGCTGTATAATCCCTTTCTCACCACTTCATACAGGGTCATAGGCAAGTTGAAGTCAACCAAAAGTTTCTTTTTCATTGCAACATCCAAGGGGAACGTCTCATTTTCATATTGAAAAGTTCCCTGTTGTCTGTCAATAATGCCTTGGCGACAGCATTCAATCAAAGACAAAACATGACCACTGCTTGTGAGAAAGCAGGGGACATTGGGATGTAAAAGCCCCTTTCTAAGAGCTGTGTGTATGGTCAACAGCTGGCCAACGCCAGGATCAATTATCTTTCCAACTTGCACTAGCGGATCAAATTTGTACAGTCCATTAGAAAGCATGTATTGCAAGCTGACAGGGGGAGGCTTATCTTGAAGCAGATGAAGTTCAAACGCCTGAATCAAATCCAACGAAGAACCATTTTTTTGGTCCAAAATCCTTGCCGAGTCTCCATCCAGAAGACCTTTCTCCATTGCTTCAGTCAGAGATACCAACGAACAACCAATATCCCCACTGCGCTGAACAACAGCGGAGTCCGCGTCAATCAGTCGGGATTCCAAGGCAGTTTTGAGAGTAATCCACTTTCCAACAGAAGAACGCGTGTCCAGAAATTTTCCAGAACGTCGATCAAACACCGACATCTTGATGGCATCAATCAGTGAAATCTTGCCCGGTACTTGCAGCATAAATCCTTGCTTCAAACTTTCTTTCAGACTCATGGCACATGAGGATCCCTCGAAAGATGACTGGTCCATATTGATCACCCCCGCTTCAATGGCTTCCACAAAGGAAAGAATGCCACTGCCATCTGGATGCTTGACTAAAATATTCTTACAATTCAATGCACCACAGTCCAGGGCATCTTTCAGCGACATTTTTTCCACAAGGACAGGGTGCAAAAATTCACCAGTTCTCTCAGAAATCAAGTCCTTCTCAAGTGCCTCAAGTAAGTTGATGCTGCTTGCCAATGGAACAATAATTCCTTTATGGAATGCTTCTTTGAATGACACATCTTCACCACCCGTGACATGAACACAGGCTAAACTTGCATCAATCATGCCTTCTTTTATAGCTTCACTAAGAGGTATCAATTGGTTTGACTCCAAGTCTTTCATGCACATGAAGCTTCCATCAATCATGTGTTCTTGCAGGGCCGATTCCAATGAAATTTTCTCCAGCGATTGAGGATTGATCAGCCAACCCCGTACCCCATCCCAATGATAAAAATCATTTCTTAGGAAATCTTGCAACGGAGATTCAAATGGATCACAAACAAGGATACCTTGGTCGGCAGCTTCAACAAGAGACATTGGCTGTGGAAGCTTAAGAACACCATGCTCATCATCCCACATATTTGAACTGAGTACATCCTGGAATACAGTAAGATTCCTCGGCTCTGGCCCACAAATCCTCGCAAACGAAACATCGATCACTTTGTTTGCAACAGCATCTTTCATTGAGAAGTGGCGCCCCGAACAAGGGTCCAATACTTGGCCAGTGGATGGGTTGTAGAGACTTTTCGACAAAGCATTTCCAAGACTAATCGAGAGTTGACAAGATGTGATGAAATTTTGATCCAACGCTTCCGTCATCGAAATACATCGACCATTTCTAGTGTCAAGGTATAAAGCATCCTCAGTGCGTATGATATTTTCTGCAATGGCTTCTTCTAGAGGAATGAATTTCTCCTGTTCGCTGTTCCAACACTGGGACATTTCTGCGTCCAAAATTCCCCGCTGTATTCCGTCAAGGAGTGAGACAAAATCACCTGTGACATCATCGAACACTAACCACGCAGATTTTTTCAGAAGGCCAAGCTTGAAGGCAGCTGGGAGTGAAATAGGGTGCCTGTTGGCTGTGACGAGTCCCAACTTGACTGCCTGACACAAGTCGATTCCTTCATTTCCCTTGTAATATCTATCATCGGTCAAACTGAGTAATTTCTTGTTCAAGGCATCCTCCAAAGGTATCAGATGCTGGGATTCCCAATCTTGAACAACAACAGATGTTGGCTTCACAGTTCCGTCAAGTATGGCTTCCGCAAGCGTTTGTTCGCTGTTCTTCTCGACATTCATAATAAATCCAGTTTCACGATTGTAGCCGCCTTCTTGTATAATTTGGATGAAAGTTTTCCATGGAGTTGATACTATCGTTTCCCATTCCCCAACAGCAATCCATCCTTTCTCGACCGCCTCATAAAACTTCATAACCTCGCCATTGGATGCATCGATTATTTCACCAGTTTTTGCATCGATAATTTTCTTCTGAATTGCTGTTTCCAGTGGCATAGGCTGGTGATCGGTTATTTTGCATTTGATCACAATTCTCGAACCATTAATAAGACCGATCTCAACGGCATCACAAAAAGACACTGCGGCTCCATCATCAGGACTGATGAAGACGCCCCGATTTCTGTCATAAATGCCATGCTCAACACAGTATTCTTCGTCCAACTGGTACGAAATTTCGGTTGCCTCACAGTCGAGCAAAGCTTCGCCATTCGAAATAACCAGATAAGCACTGGATCTAATGAACCCCGATTCAATGGCTGAACCCAACGCGAGGAGTTCGTTTGTTTCAGGAAATGTGACCGGAGAATCCATCGTCAAAACTCCGGAGTTCAGACCTTCTTCGACCGTCACCCTCAGAACAGGATCCATTCTTTCTCGTTTCACATAGCTTTTGATGGTAACATGAGTCGGCATGCTTCGGAGTTTTTCTCCCGAGGCGACGCTCTCATTCATGGGGCGTATTCCTAACTGAAGATTAGTCCCCAGAATTGCAACATGACCTTCCACTATGGCTTCCTTGAGATTCTTTTTCAGGAAAGGGAACTTGGATGCAACTGGGTCGAAGATCCCATCCTCAATGGCTTTTTTCACAGAAGTGACTTTTCGATCATCAACCAAATAAATTGTTCCCTCTGGATCAACAACATGTTGGTCAAGGGCTTCTTCCAAGCTCAGGCTGCACTGATTTGTATGTACATTCATCAAGAAACCAGTTTTCTCCATGGAAATGATTGCCTGAGAAAGAGTCATCTTGGCTGTCGGAAGTGCCTTTTCTGTTGCGCCATCATCAGCTCGCAAGAGTTTTCTAGTAATTGCATCCTTGATAGATATAGTTTTACCATCATCGGTCGATGAAAACTCCCCACATTCAAGGTTCAATAAGCTCTTTCTGTATGCCTCCGGAAACGTAATTGGCTTCACATTCATAGAAACATTCTCGGTTTCCGGTTTTAAAATAGGAAGGATTTCCAACGGAGAGCAGACAATATCTTGCTCCTTGCTTAGTGGCTCTTCAACTTTTGGCAGGCGCATCTTGAGAATGCCTTTCTCAGCGGCAACCTGAAAAGGAGCTTCTCTTCCCTGGATTGTGATGCTGCCAGGCTTGATCAGCTGTTGTTCAATTGAACTCCAGAGCGAGATGCATTCTGGAGAACAAGCAGGGTAGTCTAAAATCCAAGGTAAATCGCTGTCACTTCGAAGCTCGAACCACTTATTGGAGACGGGATCCTTGAAAAGCTTGTTCTCAACATCCACAAATTTCCTGTGAATTGCAACAGGTAGACTCATTCCTAACGGAGGAAGAACTGATGCGAACTGCGGTAATACACTCGTGAAAATCTTGGAGTGATGCAAAAACTTCAAAACATTCGACAATGGCACAATTCCATACTGGGTTACTATCTGTCCGGTTGCATCAGCAATGACCCCCGACATCACAGCTTCAATTAAGGTAACGTGCATGCCTTGCATTGGATCCAGTACGGAAGACTTTGGGTTCAAAATTTGGCATTGAATCGCTTCTGCGATTGTCAGCAACTCTCCAGAAAACGGATGCACAATTTTCTGATTTTCATAATCGAACAAGCCTCGGCTTGCCGCCTCGGGTATGGAGAGACTATGACCGACTGGGAAACTGAGTTCCCCGGATGACGGATTAACGAAACCATGTTCTATGGCGTCAGAGAGGCAAATACTTCCTCGATTCAGAGGATCCTGTATTATTCCGCCAGATGCATTCAAAATTCCCAATTTAACTGCTTCTCCGAGGTTCAATCTTTCACCACCCGGCCCTCTAAGCATATGAACTTGCGACAAGACGTCCTCCACCGCTGTATCGATCAGTCCGAGCTTTAGCGCCTCTCGAGAGGTGCAACTCATCCAAGGGACTTTTTTCCACGATTTGTTGGTTTTCAGACGTTTCCTGGGGGCACACAAGTGCTCCACGCATTTTGGGACAATTTTGAAAGTTGGTTTCACATTCAATTTGGCGGATTCTAAATCGCTCTTCGACATCCTTGGATTGCACTCAGACGGGTGTGCTATCAAGTCCGAAAGTTTCCGCAACACTGCCTGGTTTTTATCTTTCTTGGCCCACAAATCACTCACGTAATTCTTGAGGAAATCAGCCTCAACAAGCTTGATCGTACCTTCTGCAACACTATCTTCAAGAAGGACCTCTCTGTCATTGAACGGTTCCAGAACGACTATTTCAAGTTCAGTTGGAATAGATTCTTTGGTTGCTTCTGGAAAATCCTCTGACACTGGATTAGACACTTGAATCTCATTGGGATCAATGCCTTTGACTGTGATTATTCCCAGCAATACAGAATCCTTGAATTGAATTTTGTTCCGAGAACTATCCTGATAAATTCCTGTCTTTCTGTTGACAATACCCTTTCTGACTGCCTCGTTGATCGGCATATCTCGCCCGGAGTGTGGATCTTTAACTCTGACTTTCCTGGGCTCAATTCTTCCTGCACATACGGCAGTGAACAAATCCACACTTTCATTCTTGTTCACGAACTGGATTACAGCTTCACGAGGATAAAATTCTATCCCATCTCCAAGGATGACAGTTGCACCATCAACCGACGGATCTATTTTCAGAGGAACCATGATTGAGGAATCTTCTCTGCTTGAAATCGCGATGTTGCATGACGCGCCATTCTGTTGAACTTCTAGCTTTCTACTAGGAGCCGCGTTGACCTCTTCCGCATTACTGGTACTGAAAGTGATGTACTCTTTCTTAATCGCTTCTCTAAGGGTCACTTGTTGACCACCTTTAACGATATAGCACCCATTTGCCGAGAGCTTCTGCTTTTCAAGACTTTTCAGCAAAGTCATGGATCGCCCAGAGGCCGGGTCCACCACTGTTGCTGATTGAGGATCAATCAATCCATGTCGTAAACAGTTCTGAAACGTAACGATAGCATTCGCAATATGAAGGATCCCAAGAATCGGATCCAGCAGCTTCTTCGAAATCGCTTCCTCTAGTGAAAATCCTTCATCCGGAATCAAAAACACCTGATCTGACGGACACACTTGCAGATCAACAGGCAGTGGGGAAACGGATGATTGCGAAAACGAATCTTCAGCGTGTGAAATTTCCATGGTTTTCATGAAGTGATCCGTTGAATTGCTGAAGTTGCCGGAAAGAAGGTCAACAGGCCACTGTTCTAAATGAATGAAATCCTCTTTCACGGCAGTTTCCAGAGGAATGACGCCTAATTTCTCATGAATCAAGGTTCCATTTGCTTCGTCGATCAAAGCTTGACTGAGCGCGGTTCTGTAGGTCATTGACTTTTGAGATCCGTTGATTTGCAACGACTTTCTTAAGCTCGGCTTTCTCATAATTTTTGAAACCGTCGATGAAGTGACGACAATGCTACGCAATGATTCTAAGAGCTCAGCTCCATCTTGAGTAATAAATTTCATCTTCACTGCTTGCTGCAGAGGAATGCAACTGTTCGAGTTCGGGTCAATGATCTGGCCACTTTGCGGGTCAATCCTTTTTTCAAAAACGGCTTCCAGAACAGATAGTTCCCTCGCATCAGAGTCCATAATGCCTACTCTCTTCTCCAACACCTCCAAGAGCTGCGACTGAACCAATTTTTGTTTGACAGCTTCCTGCAATGAGAGTCTCGATTCGGATCGTACATCCACCAATTCTTTTGAGGAGGGCAAAAGAAGTCCGCGTTGCAATGCTACGTTAAAACTCACGTAGTCTCCACTTGACGTGTCTTTGAAACCATCGATATCAAAAATTAATTTTCGACAAACAGACTTCAGCCAACCTTTGTCAGCAGCTTCCGGTAAACTCAACGAACTTCCATTGGCAATATCAATGAATTTGCTGTCGGGTTTTAGAACACCTGCAGCTAACGCTTCTATCAAATTGATACATGTGCCGCTGCTCGTGTCCACAACAGAATTCAAGTCCAATTCCAGATATTCAATCGCCACTGCTTCCAGAAGAGGGATAGTTTCCGTTCGCAGAGGATGAAGGAATTCTCCTTTGTCATCCACCAGCCCCAAGTCACAGCACTGCTTCAGCGTCAATGGTCGTGCAATGAGCTTTCTCTCAACAGCTTCTCTCAAAGTACAAAGTTTCCCCGTTAGGGTATCCCGAAACCTGCAACGTCCTCGGGCAGCGACAATGACACCATCTCTTAATGCTTCTCGCAGAGATACATGAATTCCACCTGCCGTGTGATACACTTCACTCACATCCGCGTTCAAAATGCCAGCTTCTGCGGCTTCTTCAATACCCTGCTCTTCCCCAGAACAAGGATCTCTAATCTGTCCACTGCTTTCATCAACCAGTCCTTCCAATACTGCATCATAAAGGCAGAGTCCTGTGACTGGCTTCGACTGTTGCTTCTTTACTATCAGAAGGCCTTGAGCGAATGCCTGTTCGAGCGTCAACTTTTTGGCTCCTCGTCGAAATAACCCAGATCTTTTATTGAGTAGGCCTTGCGCAACAGCTTCCTGAATAGTAAGAGGTTCAAAAAGACCAGGCCTGCCAAACCCCATCTCTACTGGCGCCCGGATGGGTACCGGGTTGTCTCTGTTCAGCAAGATCGCATCGTCAAATGTCTGTTTGCTGCTCTCTCCAAGAAGAATATTTCTGGGTGAAGTGTTGAACTCAATGAATCCGACTGATGATATAGTACCGCGCGTCAATGAAGTTCCTTCGCGTTGCGCTGGGATTGGCTCGGAAATCTTGTCCACGAGGGACAACCGGTGAGGGCCTTCAGCGGAACTCAAAGACGGGGCAAAAATATCTCCCGAGCTGGGATCGATATCCTGACAACCGGCAGAAAATAGATAAAAAAGACTGACCAAGTTTCCAGAGCGAGGATCCTTAACCGTGACAATCTGCACGCTATCAGTGGCAATTCCTTCCTCTGTACGTTCTACACGCTTCGCAGATCGTATTTCCGTGAATTGCACGCTACTACCTGCCCGACCACGCGGAGACCCGTCTGTTTCCGGCCACTTTCCGTTGCTCACAGTAGTTACTGCTCTTTTCAAACTTTCACTCTCGCGGAAGACCAGATTCAATTTTTTTCTCGACGAAACAACCTCGTGCGATGCTCCATTTTGTGCTCTGCAAAAAAAGATAAAATGAATCAAATAAAGTGCACATGCTTAAATTCAGCAAAAATGCAAACAAGATTTCAAAATTTTCTATAAAGAAAACAATGCTGGATTCCTGTCTCAAAAATCAGCAGAATTGAGTCATTAAGTCCAATTCCAAACGATATAAAAAAACCCTAACCTACAGCGGTTAAGCGTTCTCTCCCGAATAATCTTATGCCCACGGGCTATAAATAAAGCGCAAAGCAGTATGACTCCGGCCTGATGACTGGGTGCATTTGAATGGATCGTAAAATTTAACGGATGACCGAATACAAAATATTGTCATCGAACACACGAACAACAGTGAACCGACACCTGCACAACTGTCTCCGAGTATCGACACGTCCGCAAATCTCGCGATGGATAATATGCCTGGATAACCAATCGATTAAGAGTAGAATGATGTGGCTCTAATTAAAATTACACAAAACAATAAGCTTCGTCCTAAGTATCAAAATTCGGACACGGCTAATCAAACGTCCGTTAATCGGAAGCTCCGTTGAAATGGTACCCACTAATAAGGAAAAGGAAGAAATTTGAAAATCAAGAAATCCAAACGAAATAATGGTAGATGAAAATTTGTAGCGAAAACAATTATTTGCTCAACAACAATTTATTTTACCCTACTCCGATTTAATTGGAAAAATGGGCAATAGAAGCCCCCGAAGGCCATGAAAGTAGCAGGTCGAGAAATCATCACGTTTATCCAATTTGATTATGCAGATCGTCAGCACTGTCATCCAGAGATACGTGGGCCAAAATAGGGCCGAAGTGCGCACGTCGACGCTGGCTCACAGAGCTTGATTCGATCCCTATCGCAAGATCAATTATTCCGCCAGCATGTTCGATACAAGGGAAACGTCTGCGAGCGATATGATTCGCGGAACTACTCCGATATGCGATCAGAATGACCAAAACGAGCGCCAGCAACTTGCTCTCACAGCAGTACAAACCATATAATTACAAAATAAAAGAAACCACACACAGACATCCAAGTTTTGCCATGGTGCAATGACGAAAATAATCTGTAAAGTCATTTGTCAGAATAGCGAGAAGCACGACTACGGATGCAATCAATTTGATTCCCGCAACTCCCTTCGTATTTGAAAATTTCGGTTTTCAATGAACGCCGGACTCCACGGAAATCAGTCAGTTGTATAATTCCGAGAAAATTAAAAAAATAACTCTTTACGATAAAAGTTGCCGTCACGCCGGGTGGTTTTGAGGGTGCCAAAATCCTCTCACATGATTTTACGGGATTTTTCCAACAATGAAAAGTAGAAATTCAAATGAACGGAGAGCTTCGCGAGTGCAGACTTATTCTCTCGTTACTTCGTATCAGACGCACAAGCATTTTAGTATGCTTTCAATGACAGATCCACGTTGAGACTTCGCTCATCACAGGCGACACTTGCAACATGAAATAAATACTAGCACCACGTGAAAACAACTCTCGAATTTGGATTTAAATGGTTGAAATTTCGAGCGAAATGCAACCTTAAATTGGCATTACATTTTAGCTAGAGTACAGTATACCGAATACGAGAAGAAATCCTTGAGCGATTACGCATTGAGACTTTCGAATTCGATCAGAACTCATGGAAAAAGCACACTGAACCGCGCATCGCGGGCGTCTTTCGAGCACTTTCACCCAGTAAGAAATCGGTCAAAACATGATAACCTCATGTGAAGTCACTCCGGGTGGGGTTGAAATATATCTGAACACTTCCGACTACAATACTGATGCCGCAATCGATTTTGAATAAGGAAGTTTCTCCATTGTACAGTAGCTCCAATGGACGAACGAATAATGATGTTTGCATCGACGTGTCTAGGTTTATTATCTTTCAACCTCTAGGCTGATGATCAGCGACTACAATAGACGCAGTGAACACGTGTGTTAACCAGAAAGCGAATCGGATCAGGAAAGGTACGTAATAAAGCGACTGCGACCCAAGGTGTTTTCCGAGCAAGCATCGCGTACAAGGATTGATTTGTACGCCATGAGCAGGCTTGCGCCACAGTACCAGCAAGTCCGAAAAAGGAATGACACGACACGACTCCAGGCACCCGCGGGACCGCGTCGAGATTCCTCGTGATGATACTCGGGACCCGGTCGGGGCCGAAAACCAGCTCACCTTCACGGTGCACCAGAGAAGTGCCATCACACCCACGAACGGGTGTACGACGCACAAGCTAAAGGTCCTTCACGATGCGGTCCAGAAGGCCTCGACGACCGGAAAACATTATAAATTCGTTTGACATCAGCAGGGTAACTCGCCCTGCTCTCGCCTCGGAGAGAATCACTGCCACCGGAAAATTTTGACCTCGCGTACAAAATCGGGCTGAGACATGCAAGGACATCCTGTCAAGCGGAGAAGCTCTCGCTTTCTATCCAAATCGATCAGATATAAGTTTCAATCTCAACGGAAGTTGTTCTGAGACGGCATTATTGCTTGGTCTGTTTCAGTTACTCGCCGAGGTCTTACATTCGTGAGGATCGTCTGAGTATTCGGGTAATCAGGTTTCTAGATCGACCATGACAAAATAAGTGGCCCTGAAAAAAATAAGTTCATCTCACGGAAAAGTTTCACTTGATACTGTATACATACTCCCCAACCTCCCTGAAGAAATTATTACCCATGAAATTATTCAAGCAATGCAGGAAAATATAAATCTTTCACGAAAATTATCCAACAAAATTTCGTCATCGCCGTAACTTCGTGATCTTTAGATCGCCCCTTCACACAAAACTACAGGCAAAAAAAACCTGAAAATGTCCAAGGAGGATCTTTCAAGGAAACTATCTTTTAAACCACGCAGTCATGAGTTCGGCTCCTTAGTGTATTTCTCTTCCCAGAAACTGCACGCTTTTCTGAGTTTAGCTTAGGAATAAAACATTTCAAAAAATTTGCAATGCAAGGTTTGATACTTCGAGCAATTCTGGACGATGATGTAGACGCGTTCTAGCCAGGCGAGGGCCGAAGGCATTTTAGCACAATGGAGAGAATACAATACGCATTACAGGTGGATTTCCACGGAAGTGTGGCAGTTGTAACCAAGATCGTGCGTCGAAATCTGCCGGACAGGCTCAACGTCAATTTTGATCTTCCGAAGGTGGACAAAACCCTGAACGCTTTAGGGAATACTTTACAATAAAGTAAGTTGATCTGAATCAAAATTATATCTTTACAATCACAACATTTTAAGAGGTGTATCCAAAATTTCGTAAAAATGCCAAAAATGTGTGCCGGAATCGTTAAAAAAGGACAACTCGAACAAGCTTAAAAGGTTTCAGCCACGTATTTGAATGAACATATAGCGAGCCCATTAAAACTGAATGATAGTTCGAACGATGAATTAGACAAAACTTCGCATTGCACCGAACGACCGCAGTGCCATTGTACATTATGCTGGGATTTTTCGTTGGTTTATGACTCAAGATAACTTCATTGCATCGACAAGTACTAACGGATCAACCGCAAGCTTATCAAACCTTACGAAGCAATCATGAAAAAAATCGGAAGTTCGACATCACATAAAAACGCGAACGATGCTCTGACCGAGAAGAAAATGCATTTCACAAGGTATGACGACCGAATCTTTGCGTTAATTAGCATTCTAAAGGAAGGTTTTATTGCTGGTGAGCCAACTTTCGAAGTCCCGGTACCGAGGGTTGAATAAAATAAAATATGTACATGGCGAAAGTATACGAACGTAGTGATAAAGATTCCACAGAATTTTACATTCACCATCTCCATTCGCAACCCTTCTTCAAAGCTCATTTCTTGAGAGATGCGCAGACGCGTTAAGGATTCATTATTAGCTTACATAGCACAGTTGAACAGGCTTTAAACAAATCCCATAAATTCATTTTACGGTCACGAAAGGCGAACGTAACTGAACCTCGCCTCTCGTAAAATAAAAAAAAAAAAATCAACCCGAAATGTACGAGGTCGAGAGACTTGAAATGCTGCACGAACGAATCGAGCCATGAATGCACGAAGGCGAGAAGTTACGTCAGACTTAAAAATCGTTCACCACGAACGAGATGACGCATTTGAAATACCACGGATACGGGAGGAAGAAGTTTTCATCACTAAAACTGTTTTAAGCTGCGCCAAAAAAACGACGTGATCAACCGCTTTTTAATTTTCGTTATGCAAAATTATTCTACTGAAGACCCGTACCTAATGGAGCATCAAGTGAAAGTAATTCATTTTAAAAAAGACGAGAAAAAAGGGGTATGCGTCTTGTGATGGAAAAACTTGAGGGCTTCAAAGTAGCATATTTCCGGTTTTCTTCGCAGAATTACGATGTGCGTGAAGCCCTGAAAATAGGCATGAGACGAACACGATAGCACGAGAAAGAGCTCTTGCGGCGGACTAAGGCATCGAGTAATTGCCTAGTTCTACGATCATTCATTCTTCTACCCTTAAATATCTCGTTAATGGCGACAAGCATACTTCCTTCTTTTGAACAGATTAAACAGGAACTTCTTTATGAAACAAAAATATTTGCTCGAGCATATCTGGCTGTCAACGCGTGGTTAACAAATACGGAATTAATAAGAAGGAGCCGGAAGAGGTTTTTCTGAGTTTTTCCGGACAGCTGACAGGAATGAGACAGACGCCCGGAATCGACGAAATCGTAGACGATGTGAGGTTTTCCATACGGCCAGCACGTGACTTCAGCGTTCGTATCGCGCGGGAAATCTCGACATGCTCCATAAAAGAAGCACGCAACGTGGATACGAAAAATCTTCATTTCACGTCTCATGCTTGGAACATGTTCAACCGGCTGAGCCAGGATTCACGGGCAGTGCCCGAAGAACGCGATGAACCGCGACGATGCCCAATTAAAAATCATGCGCACGGTCGGAAGTAATTCATAACCCACGCGAGATTCCTCGCTCTTCTCCCGTCAAAAATCTCATCAACAGGCCGTAGAAACGGGAGCACAATGCCCGCCTCCCACAGGAGTCACGCATCGTTTGACGCTTCATTTACAACTCCACCTTCAAGAACAGATCAAATGCTCAAACACCGAAGAGCCCGAACAAATTCATTCATTGGATGACGAGCACCGACTCTTCTATTTGCAAATGACACATATCCAGAGCCCGGGGTCTCTAAGCAATTCCAGCCGAGCGTAAAGGTCTAGTACCGGCATTCAACCGCGAAGAATGACCCCTGCGGATGCGGTCCAGGTTCAACAAACTGCCAGGTGCGTCCCAATTTCTCCTTCAGGAAACGAGGAAACAATCCCCGAGCTCACAACCGTTATCTCAGCAAACCCGAACCCTAAACCAACTCAATCACCTGCTATCTCGCTGACCGTCTACCTTCAGATCCAAGGAATTCATCACGCCAGATGACGGGTTTTCACAAAAAGGAAAACGTCCGAATGCACATGATCAGTCGCTCTTCTCGCAAGCAATGGAAGGCAAATACGGTCTTAATCCTCGTTACATCTGATGTGTGAAAAAGATAGTTGTCGTTCTTGAATCTCAAATATTACTGTTCTAAGCGGTTATCGTGTTGGCTTCACCTTTTCAAGAAAAATGCAAGAATTAATCCGCCTCTTTCTTTAAAAATGACACAGCCTAGCTCAATATCAACGAAAAGACAAATCATCCCCGAATCCAAAGAATTCCAACCACTGCAGGAAAGGTTAGCGCAAAAAAGCCTACAGGGGATATCTGAATGCAGCATAATTATAGGTTTAACTTCGCACAGATAGGTTTTGAACTTCCTCCTTTTTTAATCCATTATTCCATGAAAAGACGTAGAATTAGGAATGGACTTCTTCGTTCTTAGCGTATGGAAGAAATCGAAAAAGAGATTTGTAAAAAAAAATTATCTTAAATTATTTTGCCCGATTGCAGTGCAGTAAAAAGCGATGAAGCAGACGAATGCCCAGCACATATTATACGGGTACTTGAATACGCGGTACACGAACACTGGTGTGCATTAAACATGGTTAAATACGATTTTTAAATGCTGAAAATTTCTGCGAATGTAGGCAAAAAGGAAGTCCCAGAACGGACATTGAATATCACATCACAAAGAAGTGAAATCGAAGACCAAATCATTTGGGATACCATGGAAACACGAAGAAATTACGCTTCGTCGAAGGATTGACGCGTGCGAAACACACGCCAACATTTACAGTTCAACAGTCAAAACAAGGCCTCGAGCCTGATGTCAATCCCTAGTTCAGATTTGTTCTTCCCACTTGTGCGGATCGTCCAACTGATACGTTACTCAGAAGAAAGAAAATCGAGAGAAAAATGTGCGATAACCAGCATCGATGTGATCATTTCGTCACGAAGGTGTCGACAGAATATGGTATAAGATCAAATAAAAAAGTCCCCATCCGCGTCACCGCTTTGATGGAACACGACGTTATCCCCTCCCCCTCTTTCTCCTCGCGTATTCGTGCCTTCGCTGCCAGAGAATCACATTCATAGCCCATCAATGCGTCATATTAAAAATTATTTCCTAGGAGGAAATCTAATGGATGAATTAAGAGTCATTCAAATCAAGACCATTAAAGTTCAAGAAAAGGAATCGATGACTTCTCGCAAACCGCCCAAACTGAGTCGACAGCGCAGTGCGGTACCGTCATCGGGATTTTATCAGACGAGTAAAAACAGTAACGCGGTTGTCCAATCGCCCCCTCTTTTCAATCCAGCTTAGAAAACAAATAAGGAAATACGGGACGGCACTTAAATTGAACCCGCAGAACAATGACGTACAATTCAACGAAGTTGACTAAATGCTGAGTCACACCTCGCCCGTAACTCGGGGATGATCATCGTTTTGACGAGATACAAGAGAAGGAATGAAATGACTTACGCACAGTATATCAAAGCTTTTCACGGTTAAACGGTTACGAGACCATAAGGAGAGAATCAAGGAAACTTCTCTAGAAACGGCGTTCTGCGAACGAGATCGTCACGACTCACTCCCCACTCGTGCCTCGGGATCCCACGGTTCTCGTAGCAATGTCTGGGAGAATCAGTCCAAATACACAGCAAGACACGCAACGGCACGAAGCGGGACTCGTTCTTTTGAAATCGCGCAGGAATTCCAGAGATTCCTCATCACATCGGACCAAAAGGCGCAAAACCGCAGAGCAAGTACGGGTACCGACGGAGAAAAGGTTAGCGCACACATGCCTGCAGGGAAATCTATATATAAACACAACTTCGCGCTGTTATGCTACGAACTTCCTCCACGCGCCGGATCCTTGGTCACAAACCGAAACGCCTGCTATGTTGATCCGTTTCAGCATCACAGACGTCGATGGAATCCAGCTCTCCCAGAATAGAAACACGAGCTACCAGTAATCCTCAATCAAATGTAGCGAACGAGGACAACGGATAAGATAAATCGCACCAAAACAGGACGGACGGGCGTGCTTCGCGTTGAGCGAGTCTAAAGCCTTCAAGGTAACAGCCAAATCGGTTCTATGCAAATGCGCTGCCCAACGCCCAATAAGGCAGCAATCGCACTGACGCGGCATGAGTCATATGGTAACCAAAAGTCACTTACGAACGCAGTTTAAATTAAGAATTGACTGACAGATTGCAAATTCATCCACCGAAATTAAGTACTCAGGCGCTCACACGCGATCAGGACCCAATGAATCAACCCAAAGGATGGGAACGCCTCCACGATTCATAACTTTACACATTTTTTTTTCGTTCAGCATCCATTCGCATGTACTGTAATGTATTATCGCAAGATGCCTTTTAATTTTCAAACAATTGCATAACTACCATGCCAGCGGAAATCACAGTAAATCTTCCCAGTGATTTGCCTGTACAAGAGTTGATGAAAATACTGAAATATGAGTACGAATTCAATCTTGACATTTACGTCATCAACAAGCCACACGTAAGAAAACGATGTGCTGTATATTTTAACATAAATTCCAACATACATTACTCATTTGTTTGAATCGTGCTAATCTTGAAAAGTAGACACTGAGAATTCTTCGGGATTTCTGAATATAGAAAATGCCGAGGGAAATGGAGCACACATACGGCACGGCGCAAGCTTCCGAGCGCGGATTCCGACATGAAATGCAAAATACAAGCGCCACTAAATGGAAAAGAAAATTCGGAATGCAGCAGGGGGAAAAATCCCTCCGGGAACTGAAAAAGCGCACTTCTCACGGTCAGGCACAAACTGTATAAGCACGATCCCGGTGCTATGTAAGCAGTCGATGTGAAAACCGTCGCCTTTAGAGGAAAAACGATAATCCAGAACCCGTCAACCAGAGCACAGGAGTCCGAAGACAGCGTCACGGACTGCTCGATCAGGCGCGGCTCGGGCACACGCTGAAGAGCAGCCTCGGCGGGTGACTGGCGCTCACGACCCGATCCACTCCAGCTATCCCCCCACAGCCACACGGGCACGAAGTTACCTCTGCTGGAAGACAGAGCGAGTTTACGACCCGAGCCTTTCCCGTCCGACGCCGTTCGAATTTTGGCGAAGAAAATTGTTTCGTAACCCCAACAAACGAGGTCGAAACTGCTCCTAGCGCACCGACTTGAAATGTAGTTTTTCGAAAACTTCCGCATGACCGATTCACCGATCCTCATGCTACCTCACACGAACACTCATCACGAAGGCGGTTCGGTAACGCAAGGAACCTATTCACACACTGCTCCACCTTCGTCGTCGGTATGAAACATGAAGTTGAAAAAAATTCCACTACTTCCACTCCTTAATCCCGAAAATTTTAGTTTTAACTTCTACCAATACTCAATCTTTTCAATCTAATAATTTACAAATGTTTTCTCTTAGTCTCACGCTCGATAAACAGAAGTAAAACTTTCCAGCTGGTTCGAAGAAAGTTGTGACGCATATCCAAGTAGAATAACAAGATAGCTTCATTGCCATTATCAACTTTTCTCCGGAAAAGTTCACGATGAACAGTGGGAATAACCACTATTTATTCAGACAAAATGACTGATCAACCGTGGGACGAGTCCATAACAAACAATTCACCCATAGCTTTGAAAATGCAGGGATAATCGAATCGATACTGTCGATCGACGGCAGAGAATCATCTAATTCCATTCCACCCCACCACAACCAACTAGGGCGACGAGATAATTTAAAGCCTTGGGAATGCTCGAAAATAGAAAATTCTCGGGAAAATATTCAAAAAAAAAAAAAAAACACCGCGAGAAAGCGACTTTGTCGATTCCAGTCAGAGAAGCTTCTGAATCTACCCCACCTCAGCCGACTTCAAGTGAGACGAGATTTTAGAATTCAACGCCATGGTGTTGCGGGACGGCATTAACAGCAACGCCAAGGAAATCCACACTAGGAACCTTGTTGATCCGAATTCCCTCGTTCCCATTCGAAGACACGGTACGGGTCGTCTTACACAGTCCTCATTCACGCGCACACCTCGGATCGGTGACTAGGCAAGAAAAACAGGGCGCATCAGCCACAGGGTGAAGGAGGACTCGGGGATAACTCGCGCTCGCATGATAGCACACCGATACCCTGCATTGACAGTGCGGCGTGCAGGTGCTCGGAAGGTCCGTAATCACCCCACCGTTCCTGCGATCTATCAACGCGAAGGTGCCCGAGGCCAGTCGCCCACGGCCGCCAGCGCGAAACCTCTCCGCGTAAAACCGTGACCAACCGAGGCATAGGAAAACTTGTGAGGGGATTTCAGGATGGGAGTGAAGAGGAGACTTGCGCCAGTGAATTCCGCAGCCTAAAAAGGTGAAATTTCTTTCTGGAGCGCAAGTGCGCAACTGAGCCTCAGAATAAATTAATGGAAAGAAATCATAGAACTCGGATGGAACAGACCCTTCGACGCTAGAGGATGAACTAAAACACTGCAGTAGACCCACAGAAAACTACCACGCGGCGACAGAGGCATCATGGAACTGCATTTTTCCTTTGCACCAGAATACTTGCATCTGCATAATGTTTAAAAATGTTCTCGGGAAGAAAAGCTTCGCACACCGCGGGAGCTAAACCCCGGCATAATAAAATCAGGTTGATACCTGAACAATATGATTTTATCTTAATACTGACGGGCCACAACCTCCACCACTCTTCTACAGAACTGAAAGTCAGGCACGAAAATGTTTACAGAACGAGAACAACGTAAAAGCAACTTGACTAATTTTAATATTTTCATCTGCAAAAATAATTTCGCCAGACCTTCTGCCGATTGAAAAAAATCTACAACTGCTCCGTTTCAAAGTTCAATGCGTGCCGGAGAGAATAAATTGTTTCCTCAAAAAGCTAAAAATGCTTCAAACTGCTCAGAAATTCTTCAGTGTCAGATTTTGTTAGCTAAGAATTTTCCCTGTTAGGGGAAATGGAAACCTCTAAATATGTAGTTGAAAAAGTGAAAATTTGAAAGAGAAATGAAATTTTTCCAAGCACCAGAAAAGAGAAAAAAAACCATACAGCAATTTTAGCCTATTTCGAATTATCGAAGATTATTGTTCGTCGTAATCTGAAAAGACATTTTTGCAAACTTCATAAATCACGCATTAAAATCGCTAATATTTACAGAATGATGAAATCTATTATTCTTGAAGGGCAAAACATTCATGTTTAGAAAATAAATTGCGGAGACTTCGCAAAACACGTTTCTATACTTAAGAATTTAGTCGGTACATGTATGCTGAATTCTGTGTCATTCAAATTAAAATTTGAACATCGCAGATTCAAAGAACCTTGCGGAACCGGGGGCATGAACACTTCTGAAGTTGAACTTCAGAAAAACATATCATTCGTACGTTCATTACACTTAAAAATCGATAATTGAAAAAGAACTTTCCAGTATACAGTCCGCGTAAAATACAATAAAAATTAGCCCTGCATTAAGTTAAAAATCGACGCTCGTCTAATTTTTTTTTAAAGAAAAAGGTGATAGTCTGAGGAAAAAATTAACAGTAAAATTCAGCTTGCGAGGGTAAGAGACGCGCGCGATCTTTCATGGGAGACGAATTACATTTATTCATTAATTCAAAAGGACACGTGACAACCCGTCTTCGCGGTATCCGATAAACGACAACCCCACGAGCCCTTAAGAAGATAATTAGATCAGAGCTCCACACATCATCTTCCCGCTTTCAAGGCTTTGTTCAACTCAGTCGAAAGAACCATGTCGGGTTGAGCTCCCGCCGGGCGCGGGCTCTTGCATTTATCTGGAAACCAGATGTTCATTAACGTGCACATCATCCAAAACGTTTCCATGGTTTTTGAAAATGCTTTGACCTTAATTGCGAACGAACATGGCGGCTTTTTGACGACGTTTCAGATCTTGTCAGGATCCGGTCACCTACTTCGGGGTTACCATTTTAAACCGGATCGAATAAAATTAAATTCCCTTCGTTCGGAAATCCCACAGATTAAAAAAAAAACTTGGCCGGGAGAATGAAGGCGTACTCGCAATACAGAGGCTTAAATTCATTTTGCAACGAATTCCGATGAAAGCGAAACGCTTTAAAACACCTTAAAATCTGAATCGTAATCCGAACAAAACGAGGGATCGGCTCGTCGAACAACCAATTCCTTTTTTTACACCTGAACTCCTCGAGGGGGATAAAAAGAATAAATGACTTGTTACCTATCTTTCCTGCAGATGACAAGTCCAGAAACTGAAATCGCTTTTTAGAAGGATGCCAACGACGTCGTTGTTCGGATTAAAATTTAAAGAAGTAGTGGATTGCCTGCCGCATGAAAACGCACGAACTGCGACACACGCACCCGACGCTTCGTCCCGCAAAGAGGATTCGTGCGACGGCAAGGGGGATTAATACACGGACCAGCATTTCAGTAGTTCAGGCAAGTTTCGAGTGTCGCGTAACACAAGCAGAAGCTCTTCGCTCCAGTTGCAGATACGAATATTTTCGCGCACAAGAACGTCCCGCGAAGCCCTTTCGACGTTATCACAAATTGTGCGACTCCAGACCCCGGAGGCTTACGGGCTGCCGAATTTTCGGCCAGGAAAATGCTCGAGAATCGCGTTACGCTGATATACATTTCTGAAAATTAAAACCCCTTCTCTTACAAAAAGGGTCTAAAATCTAAACCCCATTTGTTTACAGAAAGTGCTGTAGGTCAACCGAAGAGGGAAATTGTGATTTTTGTGAAAACTTCCCTCAAATGAAAAATCAGGGCAGAAAAAATCATGTACTCACTCGTGGAAAACAGCATCAGGCGAGTCGGTGATGTTGAATTGGTCTCGGAAAGTGCGTAGTTTGACCGGTCTCACGCGTTCGGCAACAAGTCGCTGTAACCACATAAAAATACAGAATGCTTCGTTAAGTTAACAATGCGTTCCAAGATCGAACAACGTTGGAGATGCGACATCATTCGCCGTGACCTTCGCGGCACCATACGCAGAGAGAAGCCTAACGCGGGACACCAGGAACCATTCGAACTCAATAAGTCGTAAATCAAATCCGGGTTGCGTAAGTCCAAACTATCCAAAACGTCAGCGAGGAACGACGATCAGCGGAAGCTGTAAAGACGGACTAAACCTGGCGGCCCCCGCTGCCAACTCATCTAGCTCGATAATGAATTTGTATCCCGATTCCATTAGGAGACAGAAATTAATTCATGATCATGGAACCTAGACGGGAATAGCGAATATCACGCTGTCACGCGAACTGTGAAGGGGCCTTCACGATAAACTTTTGGCTCGCCGTTTTCCCCTTCGCTATTTCACAACACGTGGAGTTACCTCACAAAAGCACGATTACGTCAAAATTTCTGCGAAGGCGAGAAATTATTGTCACGTTACGAAGGCGGCCGAAGAATTGCAAATTTTTAAGAACGCCAGGCTATCATAATGGATCAAGCCGACGGGAATCGAATGATTGCGGTGGATTTGACATTGGAAAATCACGTTAGCATTCACAAACGTGTCAAGTTGTCCGATGGCACGGTGCCGCAATACTTTGGGTGCCCTATAAAGTATGTCACTTATCCAACAAAAGTAGCCGTGATGGCGGGGTCTATTAGGGGATTTCTTGAGCATCTACCCAAGCACACAAAAAAAATCTACAGATGCTAGAGGAACAAATACTTGTTCGACACACCACTATCAGATATCACATGTAGACATTGACGTAGATTTTACGAAAAATGCTCGTTCAGCGAAAAACATCTAATTTATCAAAGTCACAGCAGTTGAAAAACCGCCCTCGTATTGGGATTGAACACCAAAACTAAACTCTTGACCGACTGTTGAGTAACTCCCAAATTCAAGGAGCCTTCCGTTATAGTTGAAAAAGGTAACTGCGGTAATCCATTATGATCTCTTCAACCCCAGAAATTGCTTCCTGAAGCGTAAAGTTAAGCGTCAAACCTAAAAGATATTCCCACGCGGAATTTCTCAACCTCTTCAACTTGAGAATCCACTTTTACTAGCAATTTCTCTGGCAGAGCCTTCTTAAGTCAATTTAAATGGCGAAGCCCACTTTGCCCACCCTACCCCAAGTAAGTTTAGGTTTGGTTCTAAAAAATTGCTTCCTCTTTACGGACGGTCGCCACCTCGAGTTACGGACAGAAAAAGTATTGTCTATTACGCGTATACTTATTCCTTCAAATTATGTTCCGATAAATCTCTATATGCCTGGAGCAGAAACAAAGCGGATTTACAAGACTTCAAAAATAATCTAAATTTGCCGTTACATAAAACTTTTTATAATTGAAAAATAAGGGAGGGATACCTTAGTTTGGGGTGTCAGGCGTCGAACCTAAAAATCACAAAAATAGCGAACACCGACTTTTCTCTGGTATGGTAAGTCAATAAAGGATAAAGAAAACTTACGGCGAATTCAGCAGAAGCTTCGGGGTCTGTCTGGTGTAGAACGTCCAGCATGCAGCGTAATTTGTCATCCGATGCGGCGACGAGGTCGAGGTAGGCAGCGTTAAGATCATCGAGTTCGACTTGCACTTGATTCGATGGCGAAGGGCCATATGGAGTACGCACACTCGCATCCAAGCTAGGGTGCACTTCCTCTAAGCTACTTAGGAACTTCCGCAGCCCCGAGTCAAAAATCTAGATCAGAGCCGGGTTAGTGCAGTGTTATTGACACAAGGGACCAGATTGTTGAATGTGGGAAAGGGGAAACAATTGTAAGTTATGTTGATGAGTTAGCGATCAAGTTAGTTAGCAACAACACACATAACGGGATACTCCGAACCAAAGACGTAACTTTTGAACTTTTGCAAGGTCAAAGCCCAAGATTCTCAACAATTATGTAAAAGGAACACTGGGGTATACGTAGAAAAAACTAGTCGCAGAGGAAAATAATCTTGAACAAGAGGAACGCTCTCTACTCGCAGTATCGGAAATTTAACACAAAATCTTCATTAATCTTGCACCTCTACGAAATGGCTCGCCAGAAACAGGAATTCTTTACCTTTGCTTCACGCAAAAATCGGCCCCCATCCCCATTCACTTCTTCGATTGACTTTCTTCGCTCGGCGACGGCCACATTTTGGTTCTGGAACGAACGTAATCCCGAGCTCATCACCACAAACCCCGTATTCAACATCTTCACCAGAGTTTGGCGTGCAGGTCAAAGCATTCAGCATATTTGATCGTTAATTAAGAGGCTCGCTCCCGAACATTAGTGATTCGCCGTCCCGATCAAGCGCACGCACTCAAGCTTGTCACCAATGATATTTTATGCGCTGCATCGAAAAATGCGTTGAATTCTAATGCTCACGTAAACCAGGCATATACATGTGAGACAACGAGTTCAACGATTTTTCAAGCCTGATTAGATAGTGCATTCCGAAAGTGCGGTTTAAATGAGGCAGCTGTCAAGCCATTGGCCAGTTCTTCGAAATACTTATTCCAATTGATGAAAAGAGTCGACTATCTCTCAAAAATAGAACAAGCCTCAACGCATCTAACTTCTCGTCCATCAAAACCTAAACCCACCAATGAGCTTTCCAAATCGTTCACTTCCTGGACTTGGAGCTCCATTTGAGATACCCATGATTTTTGTGCCTCCATATTTTTCTGATACTTCCGCAACATGTCCGCGGCCGCCTCACAATTGCTCAACCTGCCAAATTAAATTCATAAGTAACAACTTCTGCGTGAAAAAAATATGGATAGCACCTCTCCGGAACTGCAACGCCAAGCTGGTTCCAGCGCTTGACCAGTTTTTTGGCATCCTCCTCCAGTCTGTCGACGTCGGGATGCCTGGTTCTGTCCGGTCGAGTTTTGTTCACTGAAGGTCTCACGTGGGGTATATCATCAGTTAGCTGATCTATGACTCTCTGATGCGTCTGGAGTGTGGCTTGAATCGATTGCAAGTCATCATACACCTACAAGATAAACATACTTACATTACGCGGACAATGATCCTCTCCGCATTACATGTAAAAGAAATCACGAAATTTCATTGAGCAGCAGGCTCCTCAAGTGATTTTAATGATGCGTGTGGATGAACATTCTGCATCGCTCATTCACCCGCTCCGCATCAGCAATGCAAACTTTTTCTTATCAACGCGTACCTGACGCAACGCATCGAGGTCCGATGGCATGGTATCAGAGGCGGCCAGCTTAAGCTCCAATTCGGACACGAGTTTAATCGCATCGTCAAGATCGGACAGGGCGACTTCCACATGTTTCATCCTGCATACATTAAGCCGATCAAAAATGATTAAAAGCAGTGGACCGGTTTTGGTACATCAAGATTGATACCTTTCGACATAATCAGCCGACAAAATCCAAATTCGTTCCCATTTCTCCAAGCATTTCTCCAAACGAGTCTGCTGCGACGCAGACTTTTTCGGAAGCTCCCTGAACGTTTCTTGAACCCTTTGTACGATCTCTTCGTACGGCTGAGGGAATGATACCAAGTATGAGACTTAGCGATCACAAATAAATTTTGTCTTCCAACCTGAAGCTGCGTTTCGAATTCCTTGTGCTCGATGACAAGGGTTTCCAGAGTATCCAAACTGCGTGGAATATGGTTCAAGCATCTACTCTTTAGCGTGCGCTCTGCATCATCGAGTGTCGATTGCAGGTTTTGAATGTCATCCGCAAACGTTCTCTTAGCATCTGCCAAACAAGAATGACGATACAAATAATGTCAACATGGAATAACCTTGATAAGGGGAAACTAATTCACCTTCTCCACGACGAGCTCGCTCTTCATACTCCGCAAAAAGTCTGTTGCATTTGTCAATCTCATCTCGCAATCGACGAAGATGCGGATCAGATGGGTCACCTTCAGAAATCAACTTGTCCGCGTCTTCGTTCAAGGCCTTTTTGATCGCTTCTCGCTGTTCAGGAGCCATGGCCATGTACTAGGAAACATCAAGGGAACAAGGCGTGTAATATATTCTCGCGTCTCGTTCATATATACTGTACCACAGTACCTGTTCAAATGTCCAAGCAAGTACGACCTTGATTGTGGCAAAAATCATGTTCTGTCTCATGCGGTGCTGCTTCTTCTGCCACGTCGCAATGCAGCGATCATAGGCTTGCTGCAAGCGAAGGGCAACGTCGATGGCTTCTTGATTCGGAGGAGGAACTAGGAAGCAAACGCTTGGAACTTCACCTTCAGCGCCCGAAGAATTCGTGACGCGCCACTTCGCGATGTTGGAATTTTCGCGCACGACGCATTCTTCTTGCTTTTGGATACTCAACTGCGGAATTTAGAACCGTACATTTCATACCTCGCGTCAACTATCAAGGATAAAGGTAACATACGTTATTGGTTTTGCATTGGCAAATCGCCGTAACACTCATCGGCCTCGACAGGCGTTCCTTTCGCAATTTCAGCGGGAGGATTTCTTTGCTACGGTTTACAAGGGCTTCCACGACTTCGCCATTATGGCTCAAATTATCACGAAGATCCTGCATCTTTTTCATCAATTGCTCGCCTTCTTCAAGCGTGAAATCACTCTTGCTAAAAGTTGTGGTAAGCTCCTCGTCTTGTCTACAGAAGCAATGTATGCTTACATTCACAAATTAATTGGAAATAATTGATGGACTAACTGAGCAATCCATTGCTGACAATCGTTGGCTTCCAGGAAGAACCGATGGTAGGCAGACGCATGATGCAGGTGGAACTCCAAGCAGAGAGTCAATTGCAACACCCAGCTCCACTGTGTTCGCAATGCGGTCAGATAGGCTTGCAAAGTTGTCGCAGCAGGGTGACCGGCAAGTACAAGACTCTCCCCACGACTTTGCACTGCGTTTACTTTCACCTCGCGTTTCTCTAATTCGCCCATAAGGTTCTGCAAAATACATTTACATTCTCTTCAGCAATGTCACTGACAACTGTTGACTTTTAAACGGCATTCGATTTAAACTTTTCCAAGACAATAAAAACGGAATACGGCTTATTATCGAGAGTTTCAAAAAGAAAATTCAACACTCATATTCCCACATCTGAAATGTTGGAAAGAGTTTCTTGAAGAAGAAATTGCATTGGGAATGGATCCAAGAAGTGGTTCGTCTCACCAAAAATATGTACTGGACTCATGTACTGGACTTCTACAAGCTTTCCTGGCATTCTAGACGAGACTTATACAACAAACTGAAATGCATCGACTTGAATACAATATCTCACCTCGTAATATTGTTCTATTTCAACCAAGTCAAGGTTCCTCGCTCCCCAATCACGTCTAATTTCCGCTTCTTCTTTTTCGTTGAGCCATATGAGTTCAGTTGTAGCTGACTGAATGAAATCTTGAAGGCTTTCCAAGTCGGACATTCTCTTATTCGAGGTGACCAGCAATTCGGAGTAGTTTCGCGTTACTTGTATGAGCAGCTGGGAATACAGAGAGGCTTCCTCTCCTCGGAAGTTATGCTTAAAAAAAATGAATGATTGCTGGCATCAAACCAGGAAGAAAGAGCTTTATAGATACCTTTGCAGAAGTACAACGTTCTATCTTTGCCTGGAACTGATCGACTTTCCGATGCTCAGTACGGTGCTTCTCAAGTTCTCGCTTGACTCCTGGGAGGTCGCTACCGTATTCCGCGTTCTCCATCTCCTCCTGATAACCGACGAAACATGATCACGCATTTCGAAAAACGATGGGAAATGAGTAGATTAATATCACGATAATAACCAGCTTCTGTTTGACCCAGACAAGGCAATCGTTCAAGAAATGAAAGTGCTCATTGGTCGCGATGAGCTCATCCAGTGACAACGGGGCTGGCTCTTCTTGTATCGGTTGCGTCATTCTCGGGCTGTTGACAAGCTCGTGGAATGTCACCCGAATGCTAGCCCAACGTTCAGATACTTTCTGAACCCTATTGCATAAGAATAAAGTGATTAAAAAGATCTTGAGGATGCCAGCGATGCATCTTCCCCGAAAATTCGTCGAATACTTCAGCGAGGCTTGATACTGTACTTCGAGAAGATCTAGCGATGATTCTCGCTCAATACGTTAATCGTGAATACTGTACTATACTTCAAGAAGTCTTCAGTGACGCTTGATGCTGATTCAATAAGATTTAGAAAGGATGCGGTCAACAATGAAGATCATGCTCGACTAAAACAGACTAAAAATAAGCTTATCATTACCACGGGAAAACTATCTCATTGGAAATTTGAAAATGAGAAATATTCTTGAAAACAAAACAAATTATTTACGGTAAAAAAAATATAAATTTTGGTGTTTCGACAATCTTATGAAAAACAGTTGCCCTCACTTTCTTTGCACGTCTCCAGCTTGCGGATAGCGCCCATCACGCAGTTTTTGGCAGTCTTTCAGCATTGACTGAATCATTTCATGACTGTGTTCAAGTTCACTTTCAATTTGACGGCAATTTGCCTTCAAGTCATCAGGGTGAAGACGATCGGCACGCCGAATTTCTTCCTCAAGTCTTTCTTCAATCTCGTCAAGTTTGGACTCAGCCTGGCGACATTCGCGCAGAATTTTCTCCGCTAGACGGTGCAGTTTGTCTGACTGTCCAACTTCATCCGTCAACCATTTCTCGCGATCATTCAGTGCGTTGATCAACTTCGTCCACATTCGTTCGATGTTGCTTATGCGAATGTCCTCGTCAATGCCCACGCGGCTCATGTCGCCGATTAGTTTCTGAGCAATATAGAAACATTTTTTCAAAAGAAAAAAAGGTTTAATTTAAGATTTAAAATATTCTCAAGATTAAAAGGAAGGCTGTAACTGTAGCGCCTTGCAGCAGAACTATAAGGTTAACAAAATCAAGAACATCTACGAAGGGGGAAGGTCACTGACGCGAATTCCGCATTTTCAATACTTGTATTGTAAATCATGAACTCCACATCACTACGCGGACTTCCTTAGAAAAGAGAATGGAAGTTTACCTCGATTTCGCGCCAAAGATGCCCACATGTATGCTTGTCCTTCAGCCGCGGGGGAATTTGCTCGTTTCTGAATCGACTGGTCTCAGCCAAAGCGTTCTTCAACTCTTCCAAGGTAGAGGGAACCTTCTTATTTTGCAACGCGGTGAGACTCTCTTGGATCCACACATAGAGTCGCCTGGCGAACTCTTTGTATTCTTCCAATCGTCGGTTAGCATCCTACAGCAAACACGTGCAGTTCATTTGAGGGAAGCTGTTAATTGAACAAAAAAATGCACTCACGGCAATCGCAAGAGGATGAATAGAAGGAGGCTCCGGAAAGGCGTCATACAGACACGAAACATAAGTTATGATAGATTTTTCGTCCGGCTCAGGCGTGTCCACATCTGCAAACAAAAGAGATGAAGATTGAACAACAAGTCAATAGAAGGTCTAACAACACGTTGCATGCAAGCATAGCCAAAATGTTCTAATCCACGGTAAAATGTCCGACGGGGTATCGAGAATTCACCACAGTACATACGAGAATGACCAGCTTCAGGAATACATAGAAAAGAACAATGATGCATGCCAGAAAAATTCCGAAATATAAAGAAAAAAAACCATACAAGTACCTCTTTGCAATTCCGTTCAATTCGAACTTTAATACTGTACCTAGTGTAACACGTACCGATGAAAAGATTGAGAGATAACACTCAACTCTTTAAAAGCGGAAGAGACGAAAATCTAGTTTAGTTCATCTGCGCGGAAGACGAAAATGAAAAAGTTCCATTCGTTTCATCGCACACATAACGTCATCATCGACCGCAACATTTCAAATGATACAAATGAAACCCGCAGATTTCCGCACTATTGATTTCAAATATCCATATCAAACAAAGTTACCTTGCAACATTGCAAAATCTATCCCCATGACAACATACAGATTATTTCAAAATACGTGAACATTTGGTTCAGTACTTGAATCATAATTCTTTTTTATAAATTCCGGTAAAACCCACGAGACGTAAAGCCTGGCCGCAGGGATTTGCGCGGGCGTTCTCTTGGATCTGAGAAAACAAAACATCTCCAGAAGAACAACATCCTGGCACCACAACACGTGGGCGTTCGAGGATGACGTCAAGCGATCACTTCCAAGGATTCGAGCCCATACATGGCAGAAATCACATACTCCCGGCCCAGCCAATATTGTGATATAGTCGCAAATGCGAGGTCATGGACAGTCTTAGAAGCCAAACGAAAACATCCCACTTGTTTCGAAACAATTTACTCATACAGGACCATAGATCTCCACGTACCATTTTGGCATCTACACATAAAAATTCTACAGTATCATCCACAGAAAGCGTTCGCCAGACGAGAAATACGGGACTGATTTCAAATTTATCCGTAGTTCCGGTGATAACATGTTCGCCGGCGTCGTCAAATCAAGCGCAAAAGAAAACTTGAAGTTGACGCATTTCGGCACAAGATGAACGTCATCAATGGAACTGGCTTTCCAAGATCCACTGATTACGAACCGCAGAGAAGCATAATTACATACGGTACTGTCATTTAAAAAGAATAATTTTCCCGCCCGTTCGATCCAACTCGTGATCAACAGCTGTCTAGGAACAATGGTTTAATAAGAAGTTCTTCAGGGGAACAAATTGGAAACTTCCATCAAGATGTCTCAGATATGCAAAAATGATCAATAGCAGCATCGTCATGAAAACGGTCGGATTCGACAGAACAGAAAATTTTCTCTCGCACAACACGCCTGCAATTGAGCGTTTAGGTCATGACCCATTACCACCTGTTGGCATCGGTTCTCGACCGCGTTCGAGTGCGTCGCAGTTTACCAGCACGGACGCACTCAAGCCACACAGCTGTTCTCTGAAACGCACACTAGTCCAGCTGAATGAATTTTACTTCGCAAATCTACATAACAGATTGCCGGAGTTCAAAAGAGGACCTTGGCATTCAACACAGGAGCGATAAAAATACCCAAGCTCGAATTTCACTCAGCATTGCAGTACAGTAGTTGAAACCTCAGCGTAAATCCAATGAAAACGCAACAGTCTTCGTTCTCAAACTCAAATGAATGAATTCCTTCTTTTTATTCGAACCTGACCTCACGGATTTGTGAGTAGAATAAGCAACAATTGAAAAAAAAATCAATACCAGAACTTAGTAAATGCGTCATTACAGATTGCAAAACTACCATCTTAACAATGCTTGTTGAAACGTGGAAAGCTGCAAGAACTTCAATCTGCGCGTGAATGGCTTTCAATAAATATACTGTACTGTCGCACAGACCTGGTAAATTATTTCAATTGGACGAACGGAAAATGACACATTTAGCCATGAAGTGAGGACAGTACAATACTCGATAATTCTGATCTGGTGAGGAAAAATTAAAATCGCGAGCCACCAGTAACCGGTTTGGAATCAGCTCAACGCTTAGCAATTGCGGAGAAAAAACTTCGCCTGGCGGAATAAACTGGGACAAATATTGAAACAATTCCGACAGGTGCGTGCCATAATCATCTCAACAAAAACATTACACACCTATGTTCGAGAGACAGGACAAAGCCCGCAACGGGAGATTACACAACGTGGAAATCAACGCCCGCGGGTCAAGTTGTGGAGTGGCCACTTCGAACACTCGCTCGCTTCATTGACATTCAGAGTGAGTGTTGGACGCAATTCGGTCCAACCGGCTCTCGAAGACAATCGTTACCCCGTTTCTCGTCCTCCCTAATAGCGACGAGATGTCGACAGGTTCTCTATTCTTTTTTCTTCTTCGTTAAGGAATTTTTGTTCAGCGAAGGATGACCTCCAGATGAAAAGAAACGGCCTTGTTGCAGCCAGATGTTCCTTTCAATCTACGCGACTACGTGCATACACTCGGACGCGACACATCCGACATCAGATAGACGATTCAGGCAATGGCTTATTAAATCGGGAGAGAAACTTGATGATATACGTTACAAAATAAATTCATACATTAAATCTATCACCTTCCCGAGATTAGGTTTCTGAATAAAATCGCCGAAATTTTGAATCCCACACTTCGCTCAAACCAAATCCCGGAAACATACTACGTGTTCTTTTCACTTGAAATTTACTGGAGATCTGAACTTTTCGAAAAAGGAGGACGCATGTGACGATTTAGAGAAAATTTCGACACTTCAGAATTTCACCGAGTTTTGACAAGAAAAAAGATTTGAGTTTTCTGTGGCGATTGAATTTTGAGCAAGATCGGATTTTAATTTTCTACATTTGACAACAGCAGAGCGAAGTGACGGTGTCGACAAGATACATACGAATTTCCCCTACAGGATTTCCTCATCAGCATCAACAGGGACACGCCCATCACCCACAACATTGTCAGCTCGTTCACGCGTGGGTGCGTCAGCACACATGCGCGCACTTCCGACCTCATGCCGCCACATCCCGGACAGGAAACCCCTACTTCGTTTCTAAATTCATCCCAGGCACGAAAAACACCCGATGTTCTCAATAAAGATTTCAGAAAGATGCATTTAGCTCTGAATTAAGATGTGTGTTGAAGGGCGTTTCCGGTTGGCTCATATTCAAGCTTTTACAAACCGAAGCATTGCGACGGGGCGCGGGGGAAAGTCAGTCACGGTCACCTTGCGACGACGCAACAAACGCGGCCCCGTGAATCATTAGGACTTTGAAAGAAAAAAGGTCATCGCAAGGTGACAAAGGCGAACGCCTCGGCAGCCCTGGCATTCCGGGATTGATGCAACGGAAGGACGCAGGGGCAAAGCTATCGAAGCCCGGCTCAAAGTTGCGAGAATTCGTCACTCAGCGCTACCATCTAGCCGCGGGTCCAGCTTCAAACGACCTCGCGTTCCAACATTACGACACTCTTCTCGTTCGGGCCCTCGGCGGGAAAGGTCCACTAGGTGGACAACTCCAGCCAGGAAGATGGTCTGGCAATAGAGACCACTGACTTCAATTCCCAGCCGCACAACCTACTTATCTTTCCGAAACGTGTACACTCGTGTTACCCTCGACTCCGTGCACCTGTTAAACATCAGGTGGTATAAAACCCGCAGAAATGGGTCATGCGTCCAGTAACGAAATCCACGCGCGCAATCATGAATGAAGACAGCCCAAGGTATAAATTCAGTCACTGTCAATAATGGATACGCGTATAGATTAAAGAAAAGAGTCCGCGTTTCTCCAAAGATATGAACTACAGTACACACAGTAAGACGAGCAAAATTCCCAGCTAGCTCTATTAATACGCATTAGTCGCATCCAGAAAATAAGCAAATGTGGGGGAAATTGAAAGCTAGAACTACATTATTGTACTGTAAGTAGCGGAACTCAATAAATTAAATTTCATAAATGATATGATTTTTTCCATGAGATACATTTGTGAGAGAATGGGGATCCCTAGTTCGCAGTTTGCAGGAGCAATTCAAGATTCTAGTCGTAATTTAGCGTCTCAAAATTCAGTCATTTTTTACATTTGAAAAGCAGACTGAAATGCATTTCTTTGTTACAGTTTGAATGGTTTCATTTTTGTGGGGAACATGGCCCAAGTTTTTTTGAACACTTAAATCTAAAATGTCCTCGACATAGAGTGGCATTCGTAGCAAGAAACCAATACCGTGCAGTCACTATATCCATTTGCCGGAAAGGAAAACACGTGTCAGGCAGCACGCTTCGCTACAAAGTTGTACGAGAACAATAACGACACGTACCTTCAGGATCCAGTAGCCTCGTGACAGAGTATTCTTTCTCGGCGATGTTGAAGGCACTGTCCAGTCGCTCGCGAGCACTTCGGTTTTTCAGCGAATTCCATTGGATCAAGTCGGGTCTGCGTACGACGAAAAAAAAACAAACAAAAGAACAAAAATGCCAATGTACCTTGCCAAGTCTATGTGCCAGAAATGATTTCAGATAAAATGACAGAAGTTAATCTCTGCCATCGAAACCCGATCTCTAATCGGAAACACACCCCTCCATGGCTTCACGCCATGTCGTCACTACAGCAGAATACGCATGTATTGTTGCAACAGATTTCGTCGCATACAGATTTTACGAAGCACGGGGAAATCCGAGCGAAGTTCATGGTTGACTGGAGCTTGTTATGTGATGAGCATATGTGGAATTTTCTTTTTTATACTGAAGTTTCTCGCACGTGCTTTACCTACTCAGGAATCCAATCGAAGCGTTTTGCATCAGAATTGAAGCTCTTTACAAGAATGACTCCATATGAAAGTTCCGGGGTATCTCTGCCTGCTTCATGGGCATAGACAGGAGACTAAAAAAAATCAAGCTTTGAAAGAACCTGTAAGCTACAACAAACAAATACGGGCTTGAACATCCTCAAATCGAATTAACGACCTTAGAAATGTAGTTCAAGAATAAAAATTAACTTATGAGGCAGAGAGAAATAAGAGTAAGGGGTTCCGTTACAGATTTGTAGCATGAATATTGATGAACTCTGCCGCAGACTCCGCGACGAACATCTTTCGGCGAAAAACGCCCGAGACCCATCAGAACTTCGTCGTTGTAGAATCCCTCAACGTTATGCAATAACACTCGTGGCAAAATTTATCGCCATCATTAGGAAGCGTTCTTATCCGCACGGTGGCGACTCATTCTTCCGACCGAGACTCAAGCTCCACGAAGAATTTCCCGTTTTTTTTTTAGCTATGAATTCGCTCACCTATGTCGATGAATGATGGCATTGAATGCCAAACCATCTCGCCAAGATCTCGTGAAGTCCGTGACACGTACGCCTGGGTATTTCTCCGTCGTCCGTTGCGCCCACCGCAACAACGCTTCCTTCGCATTTTCATGACCGACCACGTCAGAGATCTGCAAAAAGAGGCGAAATCATGGAGGTTACATCCGCAGCGCAGAAGAGGTGCTTCGCGAATGCAGACATTGATGGGGAAACGACCGCGCGTCCGCCGAGATTACGACTAGCATGCGGCAATCCGTACTTCGTACTGTAATCTCCAAGCTGCCCACGGCGCCGTAGTGCTAAAAAAAAAAACTCGGAGTATTTTACTGTAGGCCCCAAAGGTAGCTCTAATACTGTACGGCTTGCTGTCTCGAATCTCAAAATCGTCTGGACACAGCTATACCGCGAGGCCTCAGTTGAGTATCCACCGCCACGAGAGGCGTCGAACTTTTGTTATGCGTAGCATAACAAAAAACGACCAGAAAAATTCAACGACGAAATAAACCTGAAGTTTCATGACTATGGGTAAAATATGGCCCGTGAAAGCAGGAAGTAGAGCAGGATTCTCCATAAAAACGTGAAGCGGTGGACGCATTCGGAAGCACGTTCCTTCAGTGCCTTCCTCCCGCGCTCCGGTGCGGCGTTATGCAACTTTGCGTTTTCAAGCCCGCTTGTTCGCGATCCGATTTTCCATCAGGTACTCGCCAACACGAGGATTTCGAAGAACTTTACATCTATCTGGATGTGAATAAATTTACATTATTGAAACACGCAGGAAAATAACTTGAAGTGGACTTGGGCATTATTAAAAATACGGCGAATCTTCGATTATCTGTGCTAATGACTGGGTTCCTCTGAGCTGATATTCAAATTTCCGATTAATATTGAAAACAGTTGACGAAATTTAAAAATTTAATAACATTTATAAATAGCTTGAAAGGGTTTTGGCGAGGGGAAAAAACCGAAATCTACGCCGAAAAGTCAAACGGACAGCTGCGTTTCTCATTAGTTAATATTTTGACACGGCTAATTGAATGCATGATTACTCAAAATCCGAATAATCCGAGTTTCATTTAGATTTCCATCTTAAATCATGTTACGTCATACATAAAGAATAAATTATATGAAAATCGTAAGCTATGATAACTCTTAAACTGCTCCGGAAAAAGAACTTATGAAAAAACCCACGATATCGTTTAAGAAGGATTGCATACAATTATGAGCTTCGAAACAAAAAATCGGGATAGCTCGAGGCATTTGCAGGGTCATAAAAGGAAATGCTGCAATTTCATCTCGTTGCTTCCGAGGCAGTCTTACAAAAATATCACGCCTTGTTTCACTACGCAGCAACAAGCACGTAGCATTCAATCCGCGTCGGTTTGAACAACTTTTTTGTAAAAATTCGTCTTTCTTTCAGGAATCGCTCTACGCGCGGGATAGGAGAGACGGAGAAAACATCCGACTTGAAATGCGTCGACACGATAGGAAGCGGATCAATCAAAATTACGCCGACTGCACAGCGCAGGCTGTCAACTGTTATCAGACTGACCCAGTAGGCATGCATATCCGGGATTCACGTCATAAATCAGCCAATGCGACGAATCACCTTCAGGCAAATTACCGCGCGATAGCAACACAAGCGAGAGAACTTCATCGGCGAGTTTTTCAGCTTAAAGGAAAATCCATGCGGCAGCGAAATCGCGGGCCCGCTATTCCGCCGAGACGGGGAAGTCCCACACATAGCTGAACTCCGATGGAACCAGGGCTTTGTTCAGGGAAAAACAATACCGCGAGAACGCAATGACCGCAAAATACTCCCCAAAAACTCTCCGGAAGGGAAAACGCACCGGACAGCGGAAATGCCGCGGTAACGATGCGAGCTTCAAAAACACATCCTCTAGCAAGCGTCGACTGCTCGAAATACGGCAGCTTTTTAAAATTTCACAAATCACCTAAATTGCGCTCACTCGCATCGGAAATGCACATTTTTTCACGGAAGTTAGAATTCAATAATCGGACGCGCCTCAAGCACGAGGAAATACTGTATTTGAAAGACTCTTACAATTTACGATTAGCTACGTGCAAATAACGGTGCACGTCTCACACGAGGGCGTGGGGTAACCCCGTGAGTACACATGGAGTATGTTCCCATCTGTCAACCCTGATTGAACATATGAAGATTAGACTTGATTAGTTGAGATTGATCTGGTCAGGTTAGTTTTGCCTCGGCTCATTCAGGTGCAGTTGAACCTCGATAAATCGAACGTCTTCAAGTCGAATACCTCCCCATGTCAAATTTTTTTTCAAATCCCTGTCTGAATTCGATCAGAAACTATGCATTAAAATCCTCCTAAACTGAAGGCTTTCACTCTCAAACCTTCATAACTCAAATTTTTTGGACCTTTTGGACAACAATAATTATTGAAGCGGTAAAAAGAAAAATCTAAAAATTTAACTTGAAGTGTTTTGAAAGGAAATGAAAGACTAATTCGGTGAATGAACCTTTGCCTTCAAGTTCAGCATACTGTCAACTGATTCAAAAAGCAATTCAAGGCCCAGAATATCGTCAATTACAGTTTCTTCCTTTCCCTCGACAAAAAATAGCTTTCCCAAGTTCGGATTTTTTTGCTGATCCCTTGAAATTTGACTTGAAGAGGTTCAACTGTAGTTTGGGTGTGAGTTTACGTTCGTTGGGCTGCTACTATAGCAGTAATGTGGTGCGTAAATCATTTTTGAACAGAGGCGGGCGGCTTTGACATGGAAGTATAAATGAGTATGCGAGCTCATCAAAAAGCCATAATTCACGAAACATGAATTGGGAAGAGAATTTACTCTTCCACCAACATTAGGCATTGAGATGACGCATTGCAGGACTTTTCTATCTTCGGTACCAATACCATTCACCGTGGCAGCCGCACAGGTGGGCGCAAGAAGTTGCAAAGATCGAACTGGACTTCCGGTGGATTGGAAAGTAAGTTGAAAAATAACCTCCGTGGGAGCAGGAATTCATAAGAAGGTAATCGAAAGGAAGTTAAATGAGAAACGTCTAGTATACACGTTTTTGCACAAAATAAACGTAACATAACGCGGATACAGTAATGGTTCTGTGAAATGGCCCGAATTCGCTCGGATCAGAAGCCCTTCGTATCGATATGAGAAAACACGACGCTCGCCACAAATGCGTAAAAATTCGCTGTGCAAGAACTGAAAATTCAGTGGAACTAAATAATGAACCAAACGAAAACTAGTTCTTTAAAAGTTGAAAATGCTCTTCGTTAGTTTAAAGTCTTTAAACCTTCTACAGTATGATGCGCACAGGCAGAAATTATCTCATGCGCCCGGGTGCTTAATAAGTACATTTCAACTACATTTTTCATTCTAAAAAAGGAGAACGCGTCGTGAACGTGGGTAAATACAATACAATATGTCAATCAAGTTAGTCAGTATCACACGTGGCCCTCGACTTTAGGGAGGTCGTACGCGAACAATGTCCTATTTTAAACGCGATGCAATCCATAAAATGAAGATCACCGATATCCTTTGCAGTACTGTACTTCAGGGAAGCAGAACGCCGGAGGGCAATTTTAACGGTACGAACAGAGCTGGTGGGCAATAATCAGGATGTTGGCACGGGGAAAGACGTGTCCATAGGACGCGGCTCCCGACTTGATGGGATGAGGTAACTCGACCGCTAAAACGTATTATGAGGGCGGGTGCGTCAACGATCAAATCCCGGCCCGAAACCCGATGAACGAGGATTTCGCGTTCCCCGTTACTGACCTTGGTGGAAACAATCGCCCGCTGTGGCTTCTGCTTGTACAAATCTTCCGCCTGGGTCCATTGCTGACCGCGAGTGAGGGTTGTCGTCTTCTTCACGGTTCTCGTCGTGACCGACTTGAGCGGGCCCTTGCGTTCGCGACTCTGCGACTCAAGTGTAGAGCCGTGCAACTCGGTACTCAAATTCCGATGGGTATATACAGCAGTTACATTGTGTCCCTCGTAACTACGTTCCTCGTAAGTAGAAGATACGTTGTCCGCGTCGTTCTCATCGCGTTTCCCTTGCAGGAATAACCGGTTTCCCGAATTTCGCACGAATTTATACACCGACATGGCGTAGATCCGCGTTCAACTTATCACACCATATGGCACACGGGTGTTCCGCACTACAGCATCACCAAGTCATATATTTTTCTCTACCCATGAAACCACAATTCATCAGTCAAAGAGTACGGGCCACGTTCGAAAGCATCAACTCGGGTTGCGTCGCTCACAAGTATGAATTGAAAAACTGACGACGAAAGGAGTGGTTCGAGCGACTTCGTCAACAAACAAATACGCGAATCACTTGCGATATGATCAGCCGGGGATATTCCACGAAGACAAATGTCATGCTCCAAAAAAAGCATTGAACCTTAATCTGGAATGCTCGATCAAAACTGAGCTACATCCACTCCGAAGTGACGCCCGTCATTCGTGACTCATCACCCGATCAATCGTTAAGGATACTGTACAAGGGAAACTGGCCCGTCTTCGAGACGCCTTATAAGACCTTCTTTCATTGACCGCCATTCCGGAGCAAATGTAAAATCGTTAACTTACAGAGACGGTGGAGAGTGGAACGAAACATTGTGCCACATCACAACTAATGAAATCGGCGTTTGAACCTGCAGTATTGTATCACTGTACACTTGTACAGTAAACACGCTTCAAAAGTAAGAAGTTTTCGATCACTTCGTGAACTCCAAGGGGACATGAAACTTTTCAAGATCAATGATGCTATAGAGAATAAATTAGAACACCTTCGTCAAAAATAGTGCACACTTTTAGCATAACGTCGATTTTGTTGGACTTTTTATATCACTTTGGATAATCGAGAATACAGTAAAATCTTGTAAAGACAATAACATTGGAAAAAACTTTCCAATAATGGTGGTACCTCGCAATTCGACCGTAATCCGTTCACAAACTAGGGTTGAATTGCGAAACAGTAGAAATATGAGACACTATAAAATTAAGGCAAACAGCACAAAAACACTAGAAAAGAGGCTAAAACAGGTCGAATTTCGGGAAAGAGGTAGGATTGCGAGTAAACCTCGAAGCAAATTCGACAGTCGACGTGCGGGACGGTCGAATTGCGGAGATACCACCTGTATACACTACTGTACATAACTATTTCTCAACTCCCGACAGAAAGCCCATGGAGTACATGTTGAAATAATCTCGTTATAGGTTTATAACAAACATACAAATCCCAGCATGATTAACTTTTTTGAGGAATGCTTTAGATTCTAAAGGTGGAAATATCCTGACTAAGGCAAATACAGCCTGAAACTTCCAATCTAAAATGTGACCGACAGGTTTTTGTAGCCTGGATAAAACCTGTAATCGATGACAAACATGCTTTGAAGTAATTCCACACATCATCCCACCAGATTGGTAGGATGATGTGTACCTGAAGAGATTCATGCGACTGATCGAAAGCATGATTTAAGCTGATATTTTTCGCAGAAGCATTTTTCATAAATTGATAAAAAACTCTGATGATGCCAGTAAAGCAAAATTTAATTTGTGACAGGCAGGTCTGATGTCAAAATG